CTTGATGACCTCCTTCACAACAACAATGACGGATGAGACGGATGGTTCTCGTCAGGGACATTCGTGAAGCGGGATCTGGCCCCGAGACCAAGGCAGAGTGTTCCTGCACCTTTTCTTGAAAGCGAACGACTTACTCAGTTGTTCCGAAAAAGTTCGTCGTCGGTCGTTTACATCCGTGTCCCGCTTCAGATCACCCCTCTCACCTGGACGTAAAGAACAGTCCATATGATTCATGAGGAATTTCGCTCAATAATATCATCAATCGCTCGGATCATTGAAGAAATCTCGAGCTCTCCACATTGCGTTCGAAAGTTCATCCCGTAGCCTGAATCCTCTCAGAAGGTCGGGAACATCTCGCTCGAGAGGTCCAAAGAGCAACAGCGACCGCTCTGGAAACTCAAATACCTTTGTTCCTTTACCCATGACGCAACGCTTCGGATGAGACAACTCTATGTATTGCTCGGAGCGTACACACAGCACTCTCGCTTCACTGCGTAGAACTTTGGCAAAAGAAGAAAACTACTCCCACCTTCTCTGGGCTGCGCTCTTATTCCTTCCTCCTTCCAATGGCTGTCCTGAAACTGAGAGCCGCCCACTTGTGTTCATGTGCTCGTCTGTGGATCTGGATTGCCTTTTTTAGCCTCTTCTTTTTTCCGTTAATGGCTACAACTGGCAACGGTCGAGCTAGCTGCCTCTGTTCTTCGCGGTAGTTTGTTTGTGGGAGCTCCCGTGTACATCATACCACTTATCTCGCTATCCAGCGGTCGTTTAGCGTTTTTGTGACCTCCAGCGGACTGTGTTGGCTCCATACGTTCCTACCTGCGCCCAATGGCGGCCCGAATGCGGAATTCCGTCGGATGACCGCGTGCGCCGCCGCGAACACGATCAGAACCACCAACATGCTTGCTCGTGTTCACAGGGCTGTGAACGCGTGGTTTGCTACTCGACGGCAAATTAAATGATCTCGCCGGCGACCGACGTGCAGACACGCGCCCTGCACCGGACCGAGTACACGTCCCGAATCCCATAGGGGTCGACGCGGCGAGGACTCGATTGACTCCTAATCCTTTGGAATATCACGCTTGGTTCGCGATCGGGCTGTTCTTTCAAACCAGATCCTCCCGATCCTTGAAGCCGATGCTCCGTCAATCCTCTACCGGTACACAATCTCGGTTTTGGCACAACAGGTTTGGGCACCGAGACATTATCGGAACCGCTTTCTTGGAAACGTTCGGACCTCGAGAGTTCCGGTGCTCACTGCTCTACGCGATTTCTAATGGCGTAGAAAACTCATTGGCGGGGTCATTATTAGCATCGCGATACTGCATTATAGACCTGCAGTGAATATTCATGACATATAACGGCTAGGATTGCCAAAAACACGCTATCGCTCGCTTTTTCCGGCGATCATCCCAAACCCGGAATCGATACATTTGCAGAGAGTGATCGGAAACGTATGCGTACTAGCGTATAAATAAAATTTCGTAATTTTCCAAAGGGGCACACTCGCTGTGGCGCCGTCGCCGCAGCATTGGCACGCTCCGTCGCAAAGCTCATTTCTCGCCATGCCACGATCGCACGTTTCGCTTCCGCATTTCGAGACCGGGATAGTTGCGAAACGGCTGCCCCCCCTCGGAGGAAACCCTGGGAAGCCTCAGAAGAAAACCGTCGTGTCAACGGTTGTCTTCGCACTCCCCGCCCGAACGTAGTATGGTGCAACGTTGAGTGGAGCGTTCGGAGCGTGTATTCCAAAGTTTTTGCTGGACTATGCTTCGCTAATCTAATTTCGTCGATAGGTTTTCCCGTCGGGGCACCGTGAGTGACAACAGCGAACATTCTCTGAAAAAAGTTTCGCTTCGATCGAGAACCAGCCCAGTGAACATTTAACGAAGCTGTCATTGGAGCCAAGACTTCCTGTGAGCGGCCGACGGGTCGCTGCTGATTCCGAGCTCCCTGCGAGACCTGATGCGGAAGTGGTCTCCAGAATTCTGAAATGCAGGGCTGGAGCAATCCACGAGCGTTAGCGTTATGACTTTCGCGAGTCAAACTTAGTCTTCCGTCAAGTTCGTACAGTGAGCACTACGCCCTGTTGCTCAAGCCGTTAGCAAGTTTTAATAACAATCGTCAACGAAGCGGCTGGGTTCCCAGAGCGGAGCACGCAAAGCCCGGCATTAGTCAAAACTGTCGTTGCACGTCTCTAGACGCGGATCTCTGCCGTCATGGTCCACGGAGAGGGAATGCTTTCAGCTGCATTTCTATTTGCTAGCAAAATTATTCACAGATGCTGATCCGTGATCATTGTCACATCGCCATGATCATTTCGTTTCACTACGGAGCTTGGTCGAAACCTCCCTCTCTTCACTGATCTCAGGAAGCGAAACACACAGTCGTTCGTAGAGTTGAGAATCTTTAGAGATCTCGGTCGGACATCGATCTTCGAGAATTTCCGGAGCCATGAACGATTTCGAATCAATAAGCGCAACACGGATCTATTATTATACGCGTCGATTCCGTAGTCGAGCCCGAAAACAGTCACCGTATTCGGAGAGCATTTCTCCCCCTATTTCTGCTGAATCCTGAGCCTGACAGCCGGAATGGGTAGACAAATCAGGATAAGGTTGCTGTGTGCTGACACGACGTACGCAATTAGGCGTTGGATCGCTGGTCCGAAAAAGGATAACATGACGCCATATGCTCAGCACGATAACAATCTTCCCCGATGGTAAACAAGAATCTTCCATTGGCCTCCTTGTGTTTTCCTACGGGCATTCGCAGAGGTCGGTCGGATGTCGGACCGGAGAGAGAGAGAGAGACGGCAACAGAATCTTCAGTCGATGCCCAGAAACGAGCATGAGGAACTCCGTATTCCCAGAAAGGAAAAATTCCATTCTGGTTACGGCATCAGCTTCTGATTGCGAATTCCGAGTCGGGGAGTTGGAGAAGGGGAACGCGCCCGAATCCTGGCTACCGACAGCCTGAAAACACGGAACGTTGACGAGCGATGAGTCTGGGATAAAGTTTCCCATGACCCGACAGACCCTTCGATGCGGAGATGCCGTAGTACGATATGCGATCGGGTCGTAGTGGCGGCGGAATGGCGTCTCATGGCGCCGTGAGTCGCCAAAGCTCATTGTGATTTTCGTTCTAATCGCTTTATTACCCCTGGGATCAAAGGTATAGCAACGATTTCTCACCTATCTGTGTCCGATAGTCATCTCGCGATAGGATGTTCCGCATGATAAGCTCTCGTGACTTTCGGTGAGGAGCTTCCGAATTCGCCAGCGAAACTTCTGCGCGAGACTGTTGACAAATCGGCAGAGGAACATTCTGTCGCACGTGCTCCCACGGCCGAAAGCGAGGCGAGAAAGGGGGTACAAGGAGTGAGACAGCCGACCGTTCTCGATAATTCTGCAAGACGCCAGACGCCTTTTGAGAACTTTCGTCAGCGAACGGCCTTTGGAAGTTGACATCGTGTATCCGGTTCATATGCAGTAAACATTTACACCCAGAGTTGATGGGGTTTCTGCCAGAACGATGACGGTCAACGAAAAAAAGATTCTGCAAAGCACCTGACAGCGTGAGATGTCAAAAGTTTGGCGGGATTCGCCAGTATCCGCCGCGCCATGGAGTGCCCTCCGCAAGCGAGGCACACAGGAAGAGCCAAAGCTACGCAAGCGCGGGTTTCTAGTAATGAAGAACTGCTCAGCTCCGCAAGTTCCGTGTCCTAGAATCGAGTACAGGACTCGCGTCTCGAAATTCGCACGAGTTGTAGCTCCCCCATGAGAGAGGGGGAAGGGGGCTAAGGGCCAGTGGAATCCGTTCGGAATACCTCGCTCCTGCAAGCGCTGGAACCTACTTTGCAATCGTGACATCCGAGCGAATAATTTTCGGGAAAAACTGCGGCGACAATGAGGAAAGTCGATCTAGCCTCGATGATTTTCGGAATGAAGCGTAGAGGGCCGAGAACTCGAAATCAAGAGGACGAACCTATTTCGCAAACGAACAGAAGCGATGAATGAATCAGAAAGTTAGGAACGCTCTCTCTTGAATGGGAAGCGCTTTCGGAGACAGCTATTCAATATCAATGATCGAGGTCGAAGAGCCTCGGATGCTCTCGCCCTTCATTTCAAATCGAAATTGCTCCCATGCTGTTCCGAATGAGCCCTGATTCCATGCCTCCGGAGCCGCAAGAGCTCGTTCGGCGCGCTCGCAGAGAAACCCCCAATCACAGTTCTCCGAGAAAAAGGAATCGGAATATACGGGTTCGCGCGAGGTCACAGCAGGCGCTCTCAAAGAGGCCATTCGTGTCGGTCTTTTGTGAAGTTCGGCAACATCCCCCGTGGAGCGGCGAAGACCTGAGCTTCTCTAATTCGCCGAATCCGCTAGTCGGGAACTTCGTGGCGTCTCCCGATTTTCCAAGAAATTATTGGAAGGAGCGGAAAATGGCTCGGCCAGATCGAGTCACCTCCATCCAAGAGAAGCAGTATCGAGTGCTCGAGGTGCTCAGCCTACAGACAGGTGTGATCTGCTGGAACTTCGACGGCCGGAGACCGAAATCGGACCGGTATTGCAAGTCTAAGTCGAAAAGTTTGACTATCAGACCAAAGCAGCCGCGAAAGCGAACTCAACATTACATTCTTCAGACCGAGGAAAAGTTCGTTCACGGAGATTTTCGTGATTGGCTCGTCAGTGAATTTTCCAGCGGATACCCCTTGCGAGGATGGATCTCGCGCTCGAAAAGCTCGTGGCTCACTGAGATAATTGATTTTCCATCGCGAGCGGAAGATGCTGGAACGCGGAGAAAAATCACAAGCATTTTCCGTCAACTTGGAAAACATCATGTAACGTCAGAGCGGTGAGATGTTTTACATATTGTGCAATTACGATGATGTCAACGCGGGAGCAGTACAGATCGACCCCTCATTATCGTTTTACGGCCGCGTTTACAATATGCTGCACCGACTATATAAGCACGCTGTCAGTAGGTTCGATTTCCACACTTGAACAGCTCCTTCCAAAGAGAACTCGAGCTCCAAAAGTACCCACGTTCCGAAACTGCAGAATATTCTCTCGGCGCTGCTCGGATATCCCTCGCATCAAATACTGTGATCGCTCACGAACTCCTCACGATGTCCATTCGGCTCTGCACCTCAGAGATGAGTGAGCGCGACTACGCTCACCAGCTGCATCTTGAGCGCGACTTGACCCTCGACAGGGGATTCTACATCGTGAACCTCAATGACATCAAATACAAGGTGAGATTGGCGGCATACTCGCCTAATTGACTTACCTCGAGCTTGCGATCGATCTTGCCTCGAAGAAACGATTCGATACAAATCGTTGTACGTGCAACAGGTCGATTTATGGCGACGGAGCTGCCCCCGTGTCACTCCATTCTATGCGGTGAAGTGCAACGATGATCTGGCTGTGCTTTCTGTGCTCGCGAATTTGGGAGTCAACTTCGACTGTGCTTCGAAGGCAGAGATCAGTAAGGTGAGTCGGTCGATTTGAGGACGGCATTTTGTGTCTTGTTGAGAATAGTCACTCTGTGGAGAACGATTCCAAGATTGCTCATTGGAGCAGATTGGTCAGAATTGAAGACTTTTGCGAAATCCATCAGGTTCTGTCTCTGGGCGTTGCACCGAGTCGGATAATTTATGCTCATCCGATCAAGGCGCCCTCGTATCTCAAGTATGCGAAAACTCGAGGTGTCCGCAAAATGACTTTTGATTGCGTCGAAGAGCTGCAGAAGATCGCCGACATATATCCCGAGGCTCAATGCGTTCTCCGTCTCAAAGTGAGTCCTGTTGCTTTCGCTCAGTTATCGATTCCGTCCACACGAGAGAAGCGGTCGTTCCGCTTGTTCGCCGCTCTAAATATGAGTTTGCGACGCAGGTGGACGACAGCGACAGCACTTTCAAACTTTCTCTCAAGTTTGGCGCCGCGGAAGAAGACTGCCTCCGATGTCTCCAGGTAATGAGGATGACTGATATGCTCGTTCGAAGCTCATGAAAATCCAAGTCTATTCTCGAGTCCTTCCTAAACCACACGCTCCTCCACGCAGGAGGCGCGGAGGCTCGGACTGGAGGTCGTTGGAGTCAGTTTCCATGTCGGATGCAACAACCAGTCCCCTTACGCCTACGCGAACGCTCTGAATTTTGCGCGACGGGTTTGCGATCAGGGGGAAAAGATCGGATTCAGCATGAAGTGAGTTCCAACTCGATCCGCTCCTAGATAATTGATCGATCACGTTGCTCAGGATCCCTGACCGATCCACTCAGTGTCATATGCTGGGAACGAGTCGGAGGATAACTAAGGCTTGGGGTTGACCAGGGATCTGACCGAACCCCTTGCGCTATTCTAGATTCCTCGACATCGGAGGCGGCTACCCTGGATACCACGGATTCGAACCCATTTTCGAGAAAACATCGAACGCTATCAACGCAGCGCTCGAGACAAACTTCCCGAAAGGAGCGGGCTTCGAAATTATCTCTGAGCCGGGAACATTCTTCGTTTCGTCGGCGTTCTCGCTCTGCGCCAGGATCATCGGCAAGAAAGTAAGAACATAATCAGATTATACCGAGTCTCACGACTTGATCCCCACAATGGCCATCCCCAAGCTCATAGAGTCCCCACTCTCCGTGGGTCTCTCTGTTTGTTCGCACTTAGAGGAGGAAAACAAGCGTTCGGATATACGACCATCGTCGGCTTTGTTTCTGGCCACACGACCCTCTATCGCTAATAATAATTTCTCTTCATCGCCCTCTCTTTCTCGAACAGGTATCGCAACCCATGGAGAAGGAGTCGCCCAACAAAACGGTCATACAATACTACGTGAATGATTCGGTTTACAAATCCTTCAACATCTCGTTCTTCACCGACGCCTGCGTTTCCCCTCTCTGCCTCGAGGATGACAAGGTTTCGGGTGAGCTTTGCGAAACCGTCATCTGGGGGAACACCTGCGACGGCGTCGACAAAATTAAGCAATCGTGCCTTCTCCCTGAGCTCGAGGTGGGTGTCTACAACGGCTATGCTCGATATCGGCTGCTTGTGGAAATAATCGATATAGATACTCTAAGTAGACGAAAGGCTTTCTATTGGAATTTATCACACCCCGGAACTCCGTCTAAGATTCGGATAATTCTCGCAGGTTGGCGATTGGCTCATGTTCGACTCCCTCGGCGCGTACTCAACAACCCTCGAGACTCCCTTCAACGGGATGGAGGCCCCCGACAAATACTATATGTGAGTTTTCCGAGTCATCTGGTGAGCGGAGATGGAACGGATCAGCTCCAAAGCGCCATACCTTTCAACATCCTTCCTGACAGCACGCTTTAAAACGCTGTCTATGCTATTCCAGGGCACGTCCTGAAATCGCGGAAGTTTTCAATGCGATGAAGGTCTTCAATGATGAGGAAGATGTTGCTCATGTTCACCGGCACTTCTCTCTCAGTAGCCAAGCGCGTGGCTTGCGCCAAGCTGCCTGAAGTGATCGATCTTAGCTACCCGTTTCGATTAAGATAAATCCACCGACGAAATTCGCTTCGCGCAAGCGGGGAGTTCGCACAGGGTATAGCTCCGGGATGTCGTGATGGATTCTGGATGAGATAAGGATCTCTTCAAAGTGCTCTGGGGAATTTTGCATTTTACCTCCCGGTTCCCGTGACGCTTCGATGGATGCTAAGGGAATATTTGGAGGCGGTGAGGGCTCTCCGAAAAGGTCGATGGTTCACGAGAGAGCACTAATCCTCGAAGAAAGCATTCGCAGCTCGATTCGTGCGCCGCGCCGCACACTCAACTTCGAGCCCGTCTAACGTTGTAAGCGTTCGTGTCTCTCGAGATGAGTCAACGATAAAGACCTTATTCTATATTTAGACCGAATGTAGAGACACAACTCGTGAAACGGAACCGATCCTCGTTTTTGTATAGAAAAGCTCCAAGGCCAGTGGGTGATGGCTTGGAATCGGGATGGACTGTGGGTATTTTGATGTACATGTTTCCGCAATAAATTGATAAGCACGTGGGAAAGAAATATTCAGATCTCCTTCGTTCGATGGGAACGCCGATTTGACAATCGATTCTGATATCTAGAGAATCGACAGGACGACGAACGAGCTCCCTCGGATTTAGAGCGATTGGCCTCGATCCAAAGCCGGGCGAGCCGAACGCGAGGCGAGCCGAACGTTTGGGGATCCACCAGACTAGTACATACATACATTCGCGATTTTCCGCTGACGATTTTTGAAACGATTGGATCGCATTCCATGAATGAACGCTCTGAGCCGTGAGTGCATTTCGAAGACTGCATCGAAAGTCGAAGTCTTCCGCTTGGCTTGCACTCTTCCCCGGCCCTCGTTCGACGAGCAGTCGCAGTCGGTCGGCTGGGCCCTGCAGAAGCTGAAAGCAACGGAGACGAGAAGGACGGACTCACTGAGTTCAAATCCCCTGCGGACATGCTCCTGGATGCTCCCTGACCAAGTACACGATATTTGTCCACAAGATTTTTCATTAAGCTCCGCGTAGGTTGCGCTATGGCGGGCCAGAGCACACATACATCGGTCGTGATTTGCAGAAGATCCGGGGACGATCCACCGAGCGAGTTGTCGACGATACCTTCCAGGACGAGCGAACGATGGAAAAAAAACTCCATCCGCCGACTGGATCGGGGAACTTCGATAATAAAACGCTCCGCACCCAATAGAGCATGAGCATAAGAAGGAAGAGGGGTTGTATTACATATTCAATTAAAAGCTATTTTGTTAATTACGGAGTCAAAGCCTCAGAGGCCACCGTGGAAGCGCCGCACGTCTGAAGCTTCCGACCAGTCACGTCACCGCCGGCTCGGCTCGGAAGTCCCTAAGGTGTGATCGAAACTATCCATTTTTGTTTCTGTTCCATGATGATCAGGGTCGAGAACACAGGGGAGAGCGTGGAAGACTTCGAAAGATAGAGAGGGAAAAGGGAAGAGATTCGCCAGAGCTGTTATCGCAGCTCGGGGGGTTAATGGATTCCGAGCTTTGGGCTGGTTGGATGTTTCTCCGGATCTCTCCCAGTAGCCTCCCTCCCTCGCCTTCAGCCTCAATCTACACCGGTCGCTGCGGTGATTACCTCGGCGCTCAATCGCGAATTTATGCTCCTTGAGCGATGAAACTGTTCGTCTTCCTGGAGCACAGTCGGAGCCTGTCGCCAACTTATGCCGGGAGGCTCAGTAGTCCGAGCAGTCGTTCACCGCACGTTTTCATCTGTCCCGGTGAATTCGCTCCCATACTGCAACTAACAATGCACCGAGAAATGAAGGCTCATATTAGCAACGTCGAACCGTGGAGCCCTCCTACCGCTCCCTTCCGTCGACGGCCGCAATGGTGTTTAATATTCCGACAGCAGAGAGCTCGTTCGATCTAATGACAGATCGGGGCAATACCTACTGTGCAGCCCCCAGTCTGAAGAGCAGGTCCTGCTTCGATCCGTAGCCTGCTCATCGTACTTACGGAACCAGATTCGTATGAACGCGAAAATCAGGAGGACTCCCTTCCACCTAACGAACGGATTGTTCGGATTGGATCACTCGAACACTCGGCGTGAGGATCCTCGCTACGCTTAATCAGATCCACTTCATAGGAGCTCGCGCGTGGGAGAGCATTCTTCATGTGAGGAGCCGGAGGAGGATGTCCGAAATCATCGAATCTCCCGCCAGCCTGTCCCATAACCGGGGGACGAGTGTGCGATGACACGTTAGGAAATGCTCCCGATGGAGACTGTACTTCGTGACGATGAAAGGCCAAGGAAAACGATCGAGGTTTATGTTTCTCGCCCCACTACCCGCTCGGCCTGTGAGAGATCCCGGTATCCAAGCCCGACAACGAGCGAATCTTGCCGACAGTAGGGACAATAAGGCTAATCATCATAGAGAAATTCAGTCGTCGCCCTGAAATGTTCCTGCTTTCACCTTTCCTCCCTCTGACGGAGTTTGGTTGATCGCACTGATACAGCGCATTCCATTGCTCGACGCGAGGGAACGAGAACGAAATCCCGGAGGTTTGGAGCGTGCGAGAACGGATAGATAGCGGAACGAGGGCGAACGAAGGAAAATAGAGACTCAGAAAGGCGTTGAGACGGAGGCGACTGAAAGGCCCGGCCCAGCGAAACCCAAGCACGCAAGGGAGCGTCTGATGAATGGGACCGAGGGGAAAATACCAGGGGCTGCTTTTTAAAATCAAAAGCACAGAGTTTAATTGAATAAGGAAAAAGGCAAAAGAATGAAGAGATGCCTGAGCCCTGCTCTTGGCAAGCGACAGCGAGCGAATATCTAGAGGGAACACGGCAGTCTCATACATCGTTGTGCACTTGAATCAGCCAAGAATTCCTTGGAAAGGCTCGGCTTTGTTTGCTACGTGCATATATTCGAGAAGAGAGCGGCGAGGCTGCCTCTGATGGAGGTGAACTTACCAAAAACCATCGGGGAACGTCCGAGATAGGAGGCAAGTACATATATAGCGCTCGGACTACCTTGGACAATTCAATTATGCTAAGAGCAAGAATCTCGCAGTCGAGAAATTCTCCCGGGCGTCTGATGACACCGGGAAATATCGGATAAGCGAAAAGTTCATACGTAACGTGGAACGAATCCAGCTCCCTCGGGTTGTGCGCAAGCCTCTATCGAATGCGGTCCTGGATGCGCATACTATGAGGTTTGGATAATCTTCTTCCCTCGAAATGCGGGATATCATTCCCCTCTCTCGGAGGTCAGCGAGGTCTGCCGGGCCGCGCATCATCCCACCAGCTGAAGTCGAGAGTCTGTCCGTGTACGAAGAAGTTCTCGATCCGCGCGGAGGCTCTGCGTCTGGTAGGCTCGAAAAAAGTTCTGGTCGCAGACCCTTCGTCACACCTGATGCTGGCTGTGATCGGTAGAGGTGAGCTCGCAGTCCGCGACATGCGGTCATGGGATGTGTGAGCTCAGACTCCGTTGACGTTTTCCAGTTCCGAATTCATGAGGAGCCGCTCGAATTATCTGGGAGAACAGAAGAACCCTCCGTTAAGGCTCCGCAGCTCTTGAAAGTCACCCAGCCATCTTCCCTCCGGAACAGACTTTTCGGCCATCGAATCTTCTTACTGGAATAATTTGAAAACCCAGAACTCCATTGAATCTAAACTGGCCCTCGGATGCTGTAATTCATTATCGGAGTTCCTCGCAAAACGAGACGTATCGAGAGTTGCTAGGAGCAGTGGAACGTAGTTCGGGTGCAGAACAAGCTCCGAGGGCGTGATTAAGCAGCGAAGTTGGCTTGATTAGTCTTTGGTCGAAGTTAAAACCGATGACTCCGGTCTGGAGTGACACAAAGGGCGCCATCGTAAATGGCCGTCGCAAAACTTGTTCCCCTCACTGGCGCAACGTCATTGCCTCGCCATTCAGGCCAGAGCTCCGGACGAGGCTTCGTACGATGCATTAGATGCGGACCGTGACAATCTGCACGTGCGTCTGGTGTCTCCTCCACACTTGCACAACCATTCCTAGTGCTCATAAGTGGTATGCGTGTTTCTCTCCGTAGGCTAACGAGGGCGACTCGAGGCCTTATTCGCGTCACGTCTTTGCTTTTTCCGCGATTTCTCTTACCGTGAGCAGACGATCAGCGAGCTCTGTGCGTGTGTGAGCAGAGCGTTTCCACCCTCCGATGACTTCTGACTCACCTGGCTCAAGTCGTCGCCCGCGCTTGTTTGCGAGCGTGAGAGCGTTCCACTGTCCAATGCAACGCCACGCGCGTCTTGGCAGATGGCGTCGCCAAATGATAATTTCGCACGTTTTCGTCGCTCACTGCCCTTGCCCGCGAGCCTCCGACAGGTTCGAGATATGGTTTTCTCGTTCAATCATCCCGAATAGATTTGAAAATCGTCGAATGTCCCCAGGCTCATAGTTCGCGCCTCTCTGCGGCTGCTCTTGAGAAATTATCGATCATCTGTTCCCAGACTTGAGTTTTCGGAGCGCGAGGCTTTGGCGGCGCCAAAAACGGAAAATTTCGAACGCAGGAATTTATTTGGAGACCGAATGAAGCCTCGAAGCGAAGTTTAATGGTCATGACACGCGGGTGTCTCAGAAGAGAGACGCCTTTCATTATTTTGCGCCCGTTTTGCCATCCGACAATGGAAAGAAAGGATTTTTAGTTATGACCATTGTCGAGAGTGGACGGCGGCGCGAGTGGCTGACGTCCGCATCTCGGCAAGAAAAAGTCCTCATGCGATCGGTGTGAGCATCACTCAATTTGCAGGATCTCCTTGATGGAGTCTTTCTCCCTGGCGGCGTCAGGAGTTTTTCCGTCCTCTTTCCTCCATGCAATCTCCATGAGATATTCCATTCTCGAGTCTAGCGAATGAGTTCCAACTATCTGAGGCGACAGAAAATGAAGGATAGAAAGATAAAAACATCCCAGGGCGATGATTTTGTGCTTCGTTGCTAAAGTAAAGAACATCAGTGGGCCTGCTGCTGTCACGCTGAGCATCGGGTCTGATTCCTGTAGTGAGTGTCAGCTGCGATACATCGAAGTTGGTTTCCCGAGCAGGAAAGCCCCGCGTCTCTCAAGACATGCAATTTCAACATTTGCATGATAAGGATGCGTGTTTTTTCAGCGAGCTTACACCTGTGGAGACACACGAAGAACAATGTGTCTATGTCCGCTACAACAGCCCGAAAATTTGAACACATTGTCACCGAACAATCGCCTCACAACTATTGAGCCTCCAACGCTAACCCGAGACTCTTAGCTACATAAAGGTGCCCCAAACACAGTGAAGAGCTTTAAAGGCCGTGAGCCGGTGTTTAGAGTCGGCCCGCCCCCTTCTCATGAGTCCTCCGATAGACTGCTGGCGGCAGACGCTCTGACGTATCTCCTTCGTTTCCCCGAAAGACCTTCAACCGCTCAACCCGGGGTTTTATCTGAACATGCAAATGCCGCCGCCCCTTCCTTTTCTCGACGGTCCCGTTGATTTCCGAGGAGATTTGATAGACTTCAAGGGCTGTTGACCTCGCCGTCAACGACGTCAACCTAACTTAAGATCTATTTAGCAATTCACTCTGCGCGGAAAATCGACGTTCGAGTGCGTTCACCAATCCACGCTCCCCGACGTTCACTTAAAAACTTCCTGGACTCGAGATTCTTGCTTCGTAGCCTCATCTGTATAATGTTACCCTCGCTCGTTTGTGCAAACGCTCCCCCTTGGTTCTCGATCTCTTCAGTGATCCACCGCTCCGCGAGGAATCGTCCGCAGAATCGACTCTAGACAGAGCTCTCGTCATGCGGGAGCTCCGGCAGCTCTGCGAGCAATTTCGGAATATAGGGTCTTGTTCCTGAGCGCCGCCAACCTTCTATGAGACGAGTCTAAAAATTTGTCATAGGGTTTATTAAATCCGGACAAACCCCCTGTGCTATCGGTTGTGGTCGAACGGACGGTAGTGAGCGTCGCGTCGTCGGCTGGAAACTCCCGCCAGCTCCATTAGGGGGCCTGTTTAACGGATTTCCATTAAGAGATCTAGTTTGAAAGTCAAAGTACGCTGTCCCAAGCGTCACTCGGAGCCGCACCAAAAGTTGTTCGGGATTGTGTTTAAGTCGCACAAGATCTCAGCCAGTTCCTCCTTCGGAGAACCGACAGGGAGGAGACGTTCCTATCTTTTCGATTCTAGCCCTCGAAGTGCTCTCTCGGGTGACTGACTGGAACGTTTGTGTCCCACATGCCCTGCGCCCGTCCCAAGCGAGAACAGTCGCTCTTTAGATAGGTCTTCGCATCTTCGAGCATACCTCACCGACACAGGAGTTAGATCGTAATCACACTCATGTGGCGGCATGCAAGCAAGGGACTGTACGGACCCAATTCCTCTCTAGAGCAATGGATGCACGCTACTGATGTACAGTGCGTTTGTCTCACGTCAGTTATGAGAGCTATCGAGAATCCGAGCTCCAGAGCCGATGCAACTCCTTGAGACTTCCTCCCAAATTCTTGTTTTTCTCCTTCTCCGAGAGGTTGCATGTCTAGTCACCGGTCCCCCATGAACGTTCGGGACTTCCGTATGATTGGTATGCGCCAATGTCGCAAGAAGCTTATCGGATTACAGATATCTCAGGGAAATTATTTCAGAATCCTCGATTTATTCTCACGGAAGTGTATTTGCCGAGGATCCCTCCATTCTGGGAGGTGGAGGTTCGGATGCTTTCTCTGCAGCAATCTTTCTTTGTATCCAATTTAGTATATCTGGTGTCGCCAGCCACCACTGCTCGTCGAAATATACTTGAGGGTATCGTGCGACGTACATTTCAACACGATCGGACGTGAGAGGTAACCAAACGTTGCCAGCCGCTACATAGATTTCCGAGCGTTCGTACAAGGCATTGAGCTCGTCCAAGGTCACTCTTTTGGTCCCTCCCTCGTCGTGGAGCTCGAATCCTTTCTCGATAAGTTCCGAAAGACTAACCAGAGCCATCACATAGTCGATCGATCGTTTCAAAGGAGGCAGCTTGACCCCGGCGAAGTACATGTACGCCAGACCCTCTGAGGAAATTATGTCAAACTTAGGTCGTCCGTGGGGATCTTTGACGAGAAGTTTGATGAGCTTTCTCGCTTCGTTCCACTTGTCAATGACTAAAGGGAGCGGCACCAAGTGATCGAACTCATCAACTACGAACAGGGAGTTCCTTTGGAGTTGAGCCTTCTTATAGGCGGTCAGGATCTCCTCTATGTGCATGAGAGTCGGCTCTGGTCCAGCAAGCAGAACAGAGAGGGGCATCCTGATGCGGATCCGCTCTCGTATCTCATCGATAGTGGGCTCGGTCATGACGTTCTGCCATTTCGTGAGTAGCTTAGGAGCTCCATCGCCCTTCGCTCTCGCGGCCGGCGGGTGTCTCGATGCGTCACGTTTCTGTTCTTCATCCGCAATGGCTCGCTCTGGTTTGCCTCCCCTCAATGGCTGCTCAGCTCGATCCGAAGCTCCTGGGAGAGGTTCCCGATCCGCGGGATTTCCTCCGCGAAGTAATCCGCCAGAGAAATAGTGGATCAGTTCTTCAAAGATGGTTACGATAGCGAATACGGCGAGGAATCGCCCAGAGAGAGTGGAGAAACCACCCCCTCGGAGTGCGCTTTGCCGCGGGTCGCTCGACAGCAAGAGATAGATGCTCCAAAGTACCGCGGATAGAATGGTGAAAGAATCATAGCTCATGGTTAATGCCGCTTCGTGATTTCGTTGTCAAAGACGAGTAACAGATCATTTGGCCTTGTCGAGCTCCGGCGAGACGAGTAAGAGGAAACTCCCAGAGGACAGGGAAGTGACGCGAATTCTGTGCGAGTTCGTACATGCCTGAGATCTCTCTGATGCCCGCGTGGAGAGGATCGCGGAAGAATGGAAATCGTTCCTGAAATCCGATTCCTCAAGGGTTGAACGACCGCGGGTACTGCTTTTCGTGATTGGTGGGCCGACGAGATTGGTGAGCTCATTGCTCATTGCTAATGGTTTCCAGAAAGTGAACTTAAGAGGAGTTTCTGCCCGAGATCCTGGTCGCACTTACGGAGGGCTATGGCCGGCAAGTGCCGTCGAAGGCGAGTTCGTTTTGTCTTACTGTGAATCGAGTCCATCCGGACTGACTCTCTTCTCATCATATGATTGATACTAACTGATCTGAGTGAATTTGCAAACTTCCGAATCGATTCTCGCCCAAGCATCCAGGCTCTAAGAGAGCCCACCGATTGGGGGTGCGATGAGTTTCCAAGGAACTTCGTCCTGCGAGATTTCTCTTTGGCGCTCTAGGAACCAAGCATGTTCGTAGGCATCAGCGTGCTTTTCATACATTGTGAGAGAAACTAAGATGGGTGGAATCCATATCCCAGAGGGTCCGTTGAGCCCTGAAGCACCTAATGAACAAAGCCAATCTACTTCACGGAAGATTTTCTATAAACGCTAGGTCGTGATTGCGGGCGGAGATCTCCGAATGACCTAGAAGAGCCTAGAAGAGAGGAAAATTTACGCTCACTGGTTTCAGGGCTTGGAGTTTATTGTCTCTATCAATGACGATATATTATTATTATGATATCATTTACGGCTCGGCGATTCGAAAAAATGATAATAAGATTATTCTAAGTTAGGATACTAATCTGTCTATTGTAAAATATACCTATTAAGGAACGATTTCGATGCGACCCTCCAACATTGATCTTCTCAGAGAAACACAGCCATAGCTTTGATAAGAATGAATCCCAGAAAACCTCGGACGAGGTTTATCCTCTCCTCTCCAGCGGGGTCACCGCCGCGACCCATGTCCTGTCGAAGCGGCGGCCTCAAAGATACCGAGGTCTTCGGTGTGCTTCGCGTAAGTCGAGCTGAGGTCTCTTATCCCGAAGCATGAAGTTCATGCCGTCGCTCATGCATCTGACCTCGAGCTCCTTCAGTCGAGGACACACGTCCAGGAGTATTCTGATGCTGTTCTCCGTCAAGAATCTATTGCTCATCAGAACCAGCTTCCGGAGATAAGGCTGACGTCTGAGTAGTACAGCGATTCCGGCGTCTGTGATCTGATTGCACTTGAAGAGAGTCAATTCTCTCAGATGACCGTGATGCTCTGCTATTTTCTCGAGTCCGAAATCTGTGAGAGCACAGCCGGTCAAATGGAGACGCATCATGTAGGGTGAGCCGAGTCCATCCTCGAACGTCCTGTCTGTGGTAGCCGGACCGGGCGCGAAACGAAGATCCTTGAGGTTTCTCAGGAGGTGAAGCTTGATCCCGTCTTCATCACTCAGCATGTCGCTCTTTGAGAAAAAGAGGGTTTCCAGTTTCTCAAAGTTCTCGACGATTATAGAAAAACAATCCGACGTGAAATCGGTCGAACCAACTTTGAGTACCCGGAGCTCTCTGAGGCATGCGATGCTCTGGAAGAACCTGAGATCGCTATGAGTTTTCCTCAGATCCAGGTGCTGGAGGTTCGGCAGCCTCCCGATGTTGCAGAGAGAGCTACTTGGAATTCTCTTCGCGAATGATAGGCAGAGATGCCTGAGTTTCCTGAGTCGGTGGATTTCCCTCAAGCCTATTTTCTCGAGTTGATGGGAGTTGTCGCAAACCAGGACCTCCAAGTCGGGATTGTTGAGTATTATTCGCTCGAGCTTGGGGTCCTGCAGAATAGCGCACTGGCCTAGATGTAGACGCCTGAGCCTGGTACAATCTTGAATTGCGTTGAGCGTCTCGTAATATTCGAAGCACGGGACCAAGCGCAGCTCTTGTAGACACTCCGCATACGACTCTATGAGACCCTTCATCGTCTGGTCCTCGACGTTCTCGATGCAGAAGCTCAGTTTCGTGAATCTCTGCTCAGCTCTTGTGAAACACGGCACCAAGCTGCGGAAGGCGAAATCGCCCTCGCCGGGGATTTCATCTAGCGAGAGGGAGGTCAACTCGGGCATGAGCTTGAGGAAGATGTCCAGGGTCGACTCTGACATCGGCACTCGGAGCTTCAGATGTCTGGCTTTCCTTAGTTTGTCGCGGAGCTCCTGAAGAGGGATTTCTTCAGGCAGCTCGAAGGAGACCGAATCGATCAGTGCGAAATCTGCGGGCGGTGATGCTTCCAGTTAGAAGGTATTTCTCATTTCAATAATAGCGAAGGGACCTCGAGAGATCTGGGGGGTCCGCTTCCGTACACAACCGATCGAGAGTCGGTCCAATCGCATTCTATGCCGTTCATCTTCCTAAGCGTTCCGCATCTGTGGAAATCGTTGTACCGATCTACGTGAAACTAACCTCCGAATTCGAAGCTTTCCACCTCCGTGCACTGTACGAGGATGGAGTAGAAGACCTCGTCGGTCCATAAGCATTGATCGAGGACCAGTTTGCGGAGATTCTTGCACATCTTGGTCCAGAAGCAGGAGTCCAACTCGGTAAGATTGGCTAAGGTGCAGAAGAAAATTAAGAGATTTCGAATGCTGGAGGATCGAGGGACAGAAGAAGCGCGGCCAGCGGAATTCCACGCTGAGATCTTCAGATCTCTTCGCCGCGCAGATTTAAAATCCCGTTCATTGTGGAAGGAAGATCAGTTTTCCTGACGTGTCATCATATAACTGATACTTTCATTGACCAAGCTCGGATCCGATACGGCTCTGAATTTCGATGGAACTCATCGGAAATGCGACGAGCGAAACAATCGAAAGGATGGGTCTTGAAGCATCGATCCGATCGGAAGATCAATTCTCTCAGTAGAGACTATCGAGGACTTTGTGTGGACAAGCGGGAACGGTATCTATCTAAGATCCGACCCGTTTGAGCGCGTAGTACGCGGTACCCAGCATCCATGCCCAGCGTTTAGGCTTAGAAAGAAGCGCAATTACCTCTGCGGATCTCGAGCTTCGTGTACTCCCGTTTGCTCTGCATCAGAGATGGAACGGCTTCGTGGAACGAGATCCCATTGATCACAACTTTGATGTCCTCCAGCATCGAAGAGGAGGCCACTGCGTCTGCCCACAGGCGGCACGTCGCAGCGCAGTTCATGCGATCCATGGGGTCCAGATTGAGCAACATCTGCTTCAGCAGCTGGAGAGGAATGTTTTGGAGCTGCCTCATTAAATTGTTCACGTACAAAGGAATCTCGAGAAGATTAGTCCGTAGCCTTCAATCCTGCTATCAAACCCGGACGCAATTTTGATCCGCAAGTTCCCGACGACTCCGATCCGGGCGGAATGGGCGCGGGAGTCGAGTTCGAAATACCACTTACCTCGTTCGGTAGTCCGTTCATTGTCGCTGTCGTATAGGGTCGAGTAGTCATGAGAATCCCGGCCGCAGGCCTAATGATTCAGATCATAAAATATCTTGCTCGACTAGAGTCACGCGCACCATTGACTTTGAGCGCGGAAAAAAATTCAGCGTCGCAACTCTCGCTTGGGGCAGCTCTGATTCAGCCCGCGTACGCGACTTGGCGTTTAGCTGTACACGATCACGCTCTCCGACCGCGGGCTGAATTGGATAGAAGCCTCAATTCGAGTAGGCAGTCAGTGAGTGACTACGATCGCTCAATTCTGCGCCATGTTCCCTCTGAAGATTCTCTTCGGGGCTGACCTGCGCGAACGAAGCGAGCAAGGTCCGGGAGAAAAAGGAAGAGCGACTGGACTTGCTATGAGGGAATAAGCTCCACAAACTTGTCGAATGAAAGACTTGGACGTATCGTCGACACTTCCTGAAGAAGCGCGCTTGTGTGGGTCTCGGGGTCCGAACATGAACATGGGGGTGAACCTTCTCTGATCTTCTCGAGTTTGGCGCAGCTCTCCGCCCCTAGCACAGCCTACGCTCGTCATTGTGGTCGATCATCAGCGCAGAGAGGATCCTCCAAAGTAGCATCTCGACCTCTACTTCCCGGAGGAGGCTCCGGCTTGCTTGGCTCCAAAGTCTCTGAATCTCCTGCCCCAAGCATTAGACCTAGAGGGGGGACTTCGGAATGTCAAATGTTGAACTTCCACGGTTATTCCCAGGCGTCAAAAAAAGCTCAATCGAGCAGATATCTCGAGGGATGTGATCCGCGTGGCAGCGCGGCGTCGGGCGTCTCTGCTCCGAGGAGTAATTTTTCACCTCAGAATTCTTCGCTTCGAGGGTGACATAGGTTTCTCCTGGAAGATCCGACCTGACTGTGGGGATACCGCGAGTACAATGTCAGATAGCCCGGGATATGGGGATTGAGGCCGTCGGATGCCTAGGCACTTTAGAGCTTCGGGTGATATTGGAGACACCCGCATGTATATCGAGAATCTTAAAATATTGGATCGACGATCATTTCTGCACATGGCCTGCCTCCTGCAGATGGCGCTCATATTGGAGTCTTCTCTCAGTAAGGTGCAGCCTTCGTAACCGAAAATTCGTATGCGGAGTTTTGGTGCTGGGTCTTCGATCTGAGGTTGCTATGGCGCATCCCATGAACCTGAGTCTGAGGTCCTGTCGGACATTTCTCTCTTGCCGGCGGTCTTGGTTCGGTTCTTCTAGGGTCTCAACAATTCATTGACTTGATATTCTTGACTGGAATCAGGGTGACATCATTAGCGACTTTCATTATTTATTATTATCTATAACTTTATATCCGAATCTTTTTCCCTTGTTCCTGCGTTCATGATTCATGATATCAGCTCACTGTGACAGCTGATCAACCGGAAACTAAGAATTAGTTAGGAGGGAGTCTTGGTCCGCGCAGGGGTTTTCGCGCCCGCCAACGAACAAAGAATTCTCGTGGCGTCGCGCCACCATTGTCGGCTTGCCACCGGCTACGATTTGAGATATCCGCGCATCGATGGCTATGTCGCGGGGCTTGCGAAGGAAGTCGGTGGAAAGGCTCCTCGTTGTGAGCAGCATGCAGACTCCAACGCCTGGATAGGGAATCTTTTGCGCCCGAAAAAGCTTCTCCATGCGAGGCCGCGCCATTCTTGGTGTTCCTAGCCGGTGACAGGTCGATGTGATATGGAAGAGGGCTTGGGGTGGCCAACAGATGGAGAGCGGGGGTGATGCATCAATCGCCCTCCCGCACGAGTTCTTCGATCTTTTCCGCAGCAGATTCGAAAACAGGGTTATCGATTAGACGGTAATGCTTTCATGGAATAAAATCGAAAAATAAAGTAGAGCCTCGAATCCGACATGCTCTGCGCCGCCGGCTACCGAATTCGAAGTTCTTTTCCCTTCTCCTGCAGTACGGGGTCTGGACTCCTATGTCTACGATGCGTTCTCCCAGACCTCTTCTATGGGGTCCAGGATCTGGGCCCGGACACGAGTCTTATAGCTGCTTCGACATCTCGGTGTCGAGCTTGTCGTCGTGGATATGGGGTTCCTCGCCTCTCGCTCCCGCGCCAGCCGCATCGTTGCTGACATCATCACCATTTTTCGCATCACCTACTTGTGTGTTTGGCGCGCCGGCAATACACAGTCTCTGTGCCGTCGCCGCTGTGGCGCTCCTCTGCTGCTGCTCGTGTTTGTTTTCAACAGCTACTTCAGCGGCGACCCGGGGAAGAAATTTCTCAAGCAAGGCTCAATCGACGATAGAGAAAAAGCGTCGTGTAGAGCCGACGGTTCTCTGCCCGAGAGTCCTCAGCGAGACATTTTCCGGAGGAAATCTGATCTCGAACCGACCGGGATTCCGGCCTGTGAAGACGAAGTCGATCAGAAATGGTGAAAACGGTCTCCGAGGCAAAGCTACTGGTCGTCGGTGCCGGTGGCATCGGTTGCGAACTCTTGAAGAACCTCGTTCTATGTGGCTTCCGGGACCTCGAAGTGGTGAGCACTCTGTACCAAAGGGGGCACTTGCTCTGCGGTCCTCATTCAACAGGCTGCTCTTCTCAGAACGATCGAATACAGTTCTCGAGAGCGTCAAGTACGGCGCACTGTTTGACTCACCCTTGACTCTTCCGCAGATTGATCTCGATACGATCGACTTCAGTAATCTCAACCGGCAGTTCCTCTTCCGGAAGGAGCATGTTGGGAAATCCAAAGCACTTGTAGCCAAAGAGAGCGTGTTGGAATTCTGTCCTGACGCCAAAATAACCGCCTTGCATGACACGGTCATTAAGTAAGTTCCCAGATCTTCAAGGAAAGATTCCTCCCGAGGCATGATGAAATGATTCAGGATACAGAGAACTCATCAATAAGAAGACGATTTGTAAGAGAAAATTTGCGCCTTGCAGACCTGAGTACAACCGGGAGTACTTCGCCAAGTTCGACATCGTGCTCAATGCACTGGACAACCGATTAGCCCGGAACCATGTGAATCGACTGTGTCTCGCAGCGGGGGTGCCCTTGCTTGAGAGCGGTACTCAGGGCTACCTCGGTCAGGTGAGAATCAGGATGGATGCGGAACGAGTCGCCTGATATTTCGCCGAGCAGAGCTCCACTCATCCAGGGGAGGCTTCCTTTCGGTGAATCCTTTACCCTTTCCTAATCGTACCGTCGATTCTTCGTCGGTGGCAGGTGATGCCGATTCTGAAAGGAAAATCAGAATGCTACGAGTGCAGACCGAAAGCCGCGGAGAAAACGTTCGCCGGCTGCACTATTCGCAACACGCCCTCGGAACCCATCCATTGTATCGTATGGGCCAAGCATTTGTTCAACCAGCTCTTTGGCCTATCAGACGCGGACGAAGAGGTTAGTGAATTTATCGATTCCGGCGGGAGCCGGGGAACAATCCAACGTCGTCTCCATTTCGAAGAGGGGAGGGGGTATACGAGGCCGAACGTTGAATAACAGTGAGGATCACGGGGACATGTCGCTGGGTACCTGTTGTTTCTCGTGACTTTCAAGCAGATTCTCCTTTGGAACATGCTTGCGATGGTGTCAGCTCGAGCGACACCTCGGCTTTTGAGGGACTCCGAATGAGAAAGGGGCACTCAACCTAAGACGTCTATTGTAGGTCTCTCCCGACTCCACGGACCCTGAGCTCGGTGGGAAGATCGACGCCGATAAGATCATGCCAAAACGACAAGGGGGACGGAAACGTCGCTCGAGTCTCGACCCGAGAATGGGCGGCCGAATGCGGCTATGACGCCGAGAAGGTGTTCAACAAATTGTTCCACGACGACATCAACTACCTACGAGACATGAGCGACCTATGGGAGAAACGACGCGCCCCCGAAGCCATCCTCTTCTCCGCTGAAGATCTCGTGGGCTGGAAGGAACCAACAGGAATGCGGGATCAGCGCTTATGGGGCTTGACTGAATGCATGGAGGTATTCCGAAGCAGTTTGCGAGTACTCAAGGAGAGGTGAGCGAAATCATCGAACAAGTACTTGAGCCCAGGGTTCCCGGGAGCGTATGTTTCAGAGACCCGGTCTGGTACCTCTTGTATGTTTCGGGAGGGGGAAGCGGCTTCCGAGTTTTTATTCATCATCGTAGGCATGAGGACCAACAAGTTCGCTCAATTTCCAGCTATGAAGCTCTACCTGAAGGTGAATATCTGACATGGGACAAGGACGACGACGCTAGCCTGGATTTTGTCACGGCCTGTGCAAACATCCGCATGAAGTGCTTCAACATCCCGATGAAGACTCAATTTGAAGTCAAGTCGATGGCGGGAAATATCATCCCAGCCATCGCAACGACGAACGCTGTCATTTCCGGTCTAATTGTCCTCCAGGCGTTAAAAATTCTCAAGTGAGTTCAGGGAAACTTCTGCATCGATAAGGATGACAATTCGGCTGGAGGACATTGAGGGCGTCTAGCCTCATTTCGATCCCGAGCTCGACTTTATCATTTCATCCTCGCAGGGGGAAAGCTGATAAATGTAAATCGGTCTACCTGAGTCGGCATCATCATCCGGACAGCCATCAGATAATTCGGTCGTCAACCATGGAGCAACCGAATCCGAAATGCTACTCGTGTTCCGAGAAGCACGAAATTTTCGTTGTTGTCAACACGAAAACGACGACGATGAAGGTGTTCCGCGACAAGCTACTCAAGGTAATTTTCTTCAACCGGAAATTCATTCCCTGATAGATTACGACCCGAGAGAAAAACCTACTGAGAATTCCGTATTATCGCGGACCATCGCTTTGCCGTGTATCCAATCGATAGGGCGACCTTGGGACCGTACGAGACAGGTGTGATCTTTTCCGCAGGACATCCTGAATATGTCAGCTCCTGATGTCACTAACGAAGGCACCGGAACTCTGGTGATATCATCCGAAGAAGGTGAAACGGACCACCTCGAGGAGAAAACGATGGAGGAGCTCGGCATGATTCATTGTGCTCGACTTAGCTGCGACGATTTCCTCCAAAACTTCAACGTTGTGAGTTCCCCCGAAATCAGCCGAGCTCATTTCTCCCGGATGAGATCGAATTTCTTGTAACGATGGGTATTTCCCCCTCAGCTTATAAATATTGTACATACGGAAGAAAAACTCGCTGATGGCGCCGAATTCGAGGTTCGAGGCGAGCTTCCGAAACCCACTGAAGAAGCTGCGGAGACTAATGGAAAAGAAACAGCTGAGCCCTCTTGTTCGAAGGGAGCGGGCGATGTTCTGGTCGTGGAGGATGACGGTGAGCGCACCTTGAATTCCGAGTCCCGGAATCCTTTGCGGCTCTTGGCTGCGCTCGACCCCCGCGCCTTCATGATTTTTTCCTCCGGGAGGTGGTGTTACAGTCTGAGCTGACGATCGAACCTTTACAGATTTACTGATCATCGAGCCGGATATGGCAGAGGAAGAAGAAGATGTCAAACCGCCGCCTCAGAAAAAACAGAAAGTGGAATAGAAGCGATAATGTATGGAGGTTTCGCGTTCCTCTTAAAATCCACCTGAATAAACGGAGCTCCAGAAAGGGGAAAAGTTCTGACCTCATTCGTCGAGGTGAACTCGCACACTTGGCTCTTCTGAACTACAAAGAATTTGTCGAGTTCATCCTGAGGAAGATCATCGCTGCGACAGATTCCTCTGAGTCGCATGTATCAATCTGTGGAGTCTGGAGATGTTCTGTTCCTGTATCTTCCTATCTCAACTCCGCTGCGGATCTCTTCTCTCACGGAAATGCCAAAATGAGGAGCACAGTGTGGAACGGAATGCAAGAAAGTAAATTATCATCCGTCTCATGTTTTCCTGCCCCACGAAGGGAGCTTTCTTTCAAGTGACCCGGAGATGAAAATAAAAATTTTACACCGGAACCTTCGCCTTTGTGTCTGACCTTTTGGGGAAGCTCAGCCTTCGTGAGGAGAACACTCCGTGACGTGTGGGAATTCGGAGCCACTTTGAGACGAGAGAGATCGATAGACCGGGCGTTGATGCGAAACAATGATTATGCATCCATGTACATAGATCGAGATTCAGTCTTATGAACTACGTTCCACACACTTTTTGTGTAGAACTCATCATTGAGAGATATTTCTCGATCCAAGGGTGAACGAATTGCGGCCCGTGGGACTTTCCTGTGTGGCCCGCGAGCCGCCCCCTGCCTCCACATAGCATGCGAATTGTTAGCGGCTCTCCGAATCTATAGCCATCGTACAGTAGTATCCGCCCGATTCTCGGATGTTCATCATCCTGACCAGGAGATAGAATCGATGGAGAAAATCATCGTCCGAATCATTCCGTCCTGCCTGAAATCCGCTAGTAGACGTCTTCCGAACAATTGGTGTCGTTGTACAGCTAAACGGTGACACTAGATTGCTCGACAGGAAGGTTCAATCTGTCGGACAAGACAAGGAAAATTTTCCCGTGCGGCCTGTCCGGAGTTTTCGATGAAAACCCCCGCTCTCTACAGTAGAAACTCGTTGAGACTCCTGCAGTAGAAACTTTTAAGGGAACGACTCCCTTTATTCTTCATTGATTCATGAGGCTTGCTCTGGTGAGAGCATGCGTAAGTTTGAGGAGGCCGGCGGAGAGATGAGTTCCCCGGTACACAATCAGTTTCTCAAAAAACCTCGAGGAAGGGCAAAATTTGAGGTCCAAGTGAATGGAAACCTTCCGCCGAACATCAATTCAAACTAGGTGCGAGAGGGCAGGGGAAGGATCCGCCCTCGGGATAATCCCACAGCCCCCGGACGGGGGATTGCCGAGGATTGATCACTGTGGTTTGCGCTGCAGATCAGGAATCCACACCGATCAGACCCATTGAATAATTTCCACTGATCGACATTTGTACCGTGAAGAAGGATGGGACGAATATCTCTCGGGAACATCCTATCTCAGTTACCGAGCGAAGCGGTCGTTCGAATTCGGTGGATCAGACGATCCGCTCCGTTGTTTCACCAGCCTCAAGCGGTTTCTTCTCGGAATCCGTGAGCGGTGAGGACACTCACGATCGGCGTTCACGGATATTGTCGTAGTAGTGGGTCGGAGCTCGGGGCACAGTGATGAGTGAGGACTTGATTGAATTCTCCCGCCATTTTGGCGAGTGCTCTTTCCCCAGAGTCGCGCAGGATAGCCTTTCCTGTCTTTGGGCGTCTCTCATGACGTCATTGTATCACATCGCATCAGCTGTTCGGGATAGCCAGCCAGCTGATGCTGCACCACTGGTAGAGAGCGCCTCGGATTCGACGAATTCTCTTCAAACATTTGTACGCGAGAGTTTCGATAAGCTCTCACAATCTCCAGGAGAGCTCTATCGTGTTCACAAGGGAGATGAGCCAGCGCCACCACGTGCAAAACAAAACAGTTTTTCCACAGTGAAAGTTGTTGATCGTCAATCATTCCACAACCACTCGTCGGTCGAACGGTCTCGGTTGCTGCGACCAACCTTCCAAGTTCCAAGCATCGATCTCTCGTCAATTCAGCCGTATTTCTAAGTACAGTGTTTGTTATCGCCGAGGGAAGAAAGACCTGCGCAGAACAGAAAAAGCTTCTTCCCTCTGTTCCGACGGCAACGTCCGCCAAGCTTCAAAGATGAACGATAGTCCTCGAACCCCAAGTCCGAGATCTGAAATCACGGAATTGCCGCCGAGCAAGAAACTTCGATCTGGCGCCTCGCAGAAAGCCGAAAAGCTGGAAACCCGACTTCACAATCTGCTCTGCTGCGGAGTGTGTCTGGATCTTCCTCGCAATACTATCTATCAGGTTGGTTTCGTGGTCTCGAGCTGGGTCCTTCAACTTTGCAGCAATTAATTTCTGTTCTGTGTGCGGAGAAAACCCCGTCGGATCTCCATTGAATTTTCGGGAGAGAGCTCGTTGTTGCAATTTTCGAATCGAAGCTCTGACAGCTCAAGATCGAAGTCTCCGTTCTCATGCTGCTCTTCAAGAAACGGTTTCAATCGGTCAGCTGACAAGCAAGGCCGTCGTCCGAACGCTTCAACCAGTCAACGGAGTTCCGCATCTCGCAGAAGTTCCTTGCACGGAGCTTGGTGCGTTGCTGATGGCTCGCTAGATTTTCCATGCGTTCCAACAAGTCGACCTTCCAGAAGTTTTTTTTCTGCATTCTACCAGCCGTGCCTCCACCGCTTAACTATATTCTGGTCGTCGTTGATGTGAAGCTGTCGACAATAACCACTCGCGATCGGGTCGCCCGAAAACTATACGGCGGTACTGGTTGAATTCGCTAACTGCGTCACAGCACCCCGAACAACGGGGCGCCGACGACGGCGGCCTGATCCGCAGCGAGGGAGAAAGCGAACGAGCAGTATCTGTCGTTTCGAGTGTTCTCTCTCATTTCTTTTCAGTCAGTCCTTCTAAGTAGAACTAAGTGGTCGATCGCGGAACCTTATCTGACCTAAAAGAGGAGCTTCGATTCGACTTCCAGGGTGGAGTTATCAATGATTCGCGATCTCGCTCGCGATATCCATTCTGAGAGGCATCTTCATCATCGATCGTTCCCCTCTAAACTCTTCCCTCGGAGGATTATCGCCGATCAGAATTCGATTTCAGACTTCGTCCAGATCTTTTTTGGAGTTTGCGGAGCTCTCGTACCCCTCCGCGCGATTTGACTCAAAGTCTGCCTCGAGCACCGTCGTCGAGTCACGACGAGAGAGTTGGACGCTCTGATCGTCGTTCCGACTGTCGATGTTTTGCTGATGCGGCCTATATTCCTCATCCATTCAGATCTTGGACACGAGGAGCATAGAGCTCGGGTTTCAGATGACACAGGGAACAACTGAACAGAACCGGTGTATAACGCTGGTGGCTGAAGACCAAGGCTCTATTCTGACCAATCCGGGATCGGACCCACTCGGAGAAGTCAGACAGCGTCGACTCCTGCGTGATATCCGACTGGCATCCACAACAACAGTCCGATGGGCCCCTCTTTCCATTTGCTGGAGTCGGCTCGTGTTTCTCGTGACCGCGGGGACACACGAGACCGAATCGCTCAAGCAAGTCCAAAATATTTTCGAGTGCTCGACAACGCGTCGGTCGGACCGATCCCGGCGGGCTCATGACTTGGAGCATGCGCTTAGAAAGTCACTTCCGGACTCGAGAGGATCAATTCCGTCGACAATAAAGCGCCGTCCGAAGGTTTCATCCAAGCAACTCGACACTGCTCGTTCCGAACATGACTCCGATCCGGCGCTCATCGGGATGATCGCAGTCTAATTCATGGTCGGTGTTTCATTTTCGAAATAATCTTTGCAGTGCTCCAACGGACATTTGATGTGCGCGGCCTGTTTCACACATCTCCTCGCAGATGCGAGGCTCCGGGACGACACCCCGGCGACTTGCCCCAACTGCCGCACCGTCATTTCTAAGTACGTTCCCAGCTTCCGAGCTTAGCCAGGCCTTCTCTGCCAGAAATATTTCTGAATTCCCTCGGAAGATATTCCGAAGTCTGAGAGCCGAGATGCTTCCCCTCACCGACTTGCTCGTACTTACAGAGAGCTATGTTCGCGAAATCTTGCCGTCGAAAAGGCCGTTTGCGAGCTTCCCGCAGAATGTCAATTCTGTTCCGAGCAACTGCCCCGGAGCGAACTCAGACACCATGAGTCGAACCTCTGCGATGAAAGGTGAAGAATCGCCGAACTTGATCTCCTTCCCTTACTTCACCTCCTCTTCCATCCCTTGGGCTCGTGACCGTTGAGATACGGCCCACATTTTGGGGAAATCAGGTCAAGCTTCCTGTATATGAGGGATCTCTTATGAATATTACAGGAAAGTGTCGTGTGCCTATGCAAAGATCGGCTGTCTCTGGCTAGGGCCTTCCCATGAGCTTGACAGACACCACGAGAGTTGCGCCCACCCGAACAAAACAGGCGTCGAGGTGAATTCCCGCGAGCCATAGCCCTTCCCATGGAATATGGAGCGTTCCCATTCCCCGATTGTCTGATCCTGGAGAGGCCTAATAGATTCTCACCTTGCTCCCCGCAGATACTCGCGGCACTCCAGAAACTGGAGGACAAAGACGCTGAGCAGAAACGGACAAGCACAACCCTCTTCGACTTGCTGAGTTTCGAGAAACTCGTCTTCACTGGTAGGGCCCCTGCACTTCGCGTTCATGATCTCTCTGCCGAAGGGCGACTTCACTCAAATATTTGAGTGGGGTCGCAAAATGAGCCGTATGTTGCTCTGAGTACGAGCCTAAATACTCACACGAACCTTCAATTCAGACCTGCAGTTCAAGCCATACCGCACCGACGAGTACATCACGAAACTCTACTTCGAGACGCATCGCTTCTCAGCGTTCAACATGCAGTGGGCATGCAAAGCATTCGTCAACAACAACCAGCGAGACCCTCAAAATTTCTCAGACCGTTACCTCAGCTACCAGCTTGTGCTCAAGACAAAGATCAACAGGTGGATCTCTTTTACCCCGACTAGGAGGCATTTCCGCATCCAGGGGTTTTCATTGTTTCCCCATCCCCTGCGATCGCGAGAAATCGACGCATCTCAATCTCTGTCGCTTTTCAGTCCAACGGTCATCCACTTCCTAGTCCTCCCGGGCCCCTTCGGAGACATGAGATTGGAGCCTCAGGTCCATCATTATGAATTCAATGAAGCAACCAGCGAATCAGCAATCGTACCACTGGCGGTGAAGGATTCGCAAGAAGTTAATCGACTCCTCTCGGCGAAGGTTAGAGCGGATCTCAAACGCTCGGCTTTGATGGCATATCAGAGCGATTGACGCTCACCGCGTCCTCTTGAATCATCATTCGCTCCGTAGCTCGACGAGGGCGTTGTGGATCGATGTTATTCGAGCGAGAAATACCAATGTTGTTATCCCGCCCTCAAGTGACATTCATGCTCCTTTCAGGTTATAAATTTCCGCCTCATCATGTTCCAAGTGTCTGCCGCGTCACCCCAGACCAGCAAATCGTAGAGCGCGCGATCTAGATATTCGAGTGATTCTCTTCCAAAACTTGAGACCGACAGCTCGTTGTAAACGCTGCCGACAGCTCTCGCCTGATTCAAAATTTACTTTAATACGAGATCGACGAGGAGTATCTCGCTTCCCTTCAAACGACGGTCGATTCGGAATCGTTACGATGAACTTCGAGACAGCTGCAGAGCTTTTCGGCGAATGATGAGAGTGATACTGATGTCGATTCGAGCTAATTGGTGGACCTTCAGTCCGAAGCGACGTGCCTCGGAAGGTTCCTTGATCGGACTTTCGTATTGTTATTCATGGATATTTATACCCAACTGTAATCTTAGGCATCCTCTCCGAAAGACTGAGAGCGAGTATTCAAAACTCCGCCTACGTGGACGCATGCCAATAGAAAATCATCAGAGCCAGTCAGAGCAACATACGTTAATTCATTCGGGAGAAGGAGCGGACATCGCGTAGTCACTAGTGCTGACTTGGTCTTCGTCAGCTGTAGGTACGCTAGCTAATGAGTAGCATAAGTGAGCGAGAAAGAGAGAAGAGTGATTGGTGGATGCATGGATTTTGAGTTCGGACTCTCTCTGGCCTGCCAGATGAGCTATAGCATGATATCAATTGAGATACGAGAGCAAGTGGCCGTGCCCAAAACAATTATGAATACTCGGCGAGTTTTCGGGGGATTTCCATTCGACGAGTCGAAGAGGGACGCTGAAGAGGGCTCTGCAACACTCCATCATGGAAATACTCCGGAGTGATGCTCCTGGAGTCGAGCCTCCTTCCTACTGTGTCGAGCAGCGAAATCGAGAGCTTCCTGAGGTTAGAAAGCTTGGTATTGAGCCAACAGACCGGTTAGTTGGGTTCAGCGAATCGTTCGGCTAGTTGACGATGGAGATGTCGCAGAAAGAAGCGAGCCTGTCCACGCTCGGTTCATCGGCTCTTGATTGGCGATCAGTGCCGGATGAATTCCCCTCGAGCAATTGTTTCAACTTCATCGCAGGATGATGATGATGAGATGTGAGTTCAGTATTGTTCTGAGAATCAGAAAGATGTGAAAGAAGTATGAGAAGCATCGGCTGCATTGTTCCCGATGGAAAATCTGTATAAGTTGAGGGTCACGAGAATGATGAGCCGAGCTTTCCGGTTCGTCATCGTGTATGCATCTAGAACGAATAGTTTGGAGAGGAGGAGCCACGAGTTTACGCTCTTTTCTGCCTTCTGTTCATCGGACTCTATCATTTCTTGCGAGCGTCTTGTAGAAAGCGTTTCATTCTCCTTCTGGCCGAGGAGATGAGATCGTAGGAGTGCTAATAAAGTTGCGTACTATCTCGATTCAATCGATCGGTATTCCTTCCCTCTCGCTCGGATGTCTTTCCTTAATTCGGCAGAGCATCGTTCCGAGGTCGAATGCGGCGAGTGCATACACTCGGGTCAGCGCAGGAGGACTGCTCATCTGCAGGTGGAGTTAGAGCTTCGCATCTCCTGAAAACCGGGAGTCCCCCTCGTATGGTGAAGCGGATGCGCGCGGTTGAGAGCTGATCGGTGCTCGAAGGCTCTCGGGAGTGATCACAGCGGAATCCCCCGGAATGAAGGAGTGAGAGGAGCCGAAGGACGATTCGAGGACCTGCGTCGAGATCGCTCTTGTTCAAAATGGTTTCCGCATAGGAGACTCCAGAAACGACCTCTGAATTGAGATGAGACTCGTGAGGATAGTTCAGAACTCTTAAGTAAACAAGATGATTTCTGTCCAACATTCTTTATTCTTCCAAGTTCAACAACATTTCAGCCCCGAAGACCTCCTGGGCCGACGCGAGCATCTCCGTTACAAATCTATTGAGCGCCACCTATGCGAATATCAGGTCCCTGCAAACCAGGACGCAGTGCCACAATACTCGTCCCGCGTCCTCGCAGGCTGAGCGTGATAGGAATTCCTCACAATATGTGCGACAATGACGACTTCTCACGATCAGGTCCCTGATAGTCATCGAGTCACCAGTCAGAACCTCAAGTCGACTAAAAAAAACTCGTCAGTGCTGGTTTCTCCGAGAATGCCATCCCAGGAGACCGTCTAACCGTCAAGATGTATATATATATATAGTAAGAAGTAAGACAGATATGAAGAAATACATAAGGGGTGTTCAGAAGAGTCCCCAGAATAAGTATTATCGAGGAAAATTGAGGCTTCGTGATTATGTGCGTCATTCAATCGAGAACGGACTCGGACTCCGTGATTTGGTGTCGGCTCGCTAGAAGGTGGAGCCAACCCTATGAGTCTTTGCCGTGTGAAAATAGTGGTAGGGAGTTGACGCATCCGTCGCTTTCCCACCCGCTGCTGCCAAGGAAGTTCTCCCCACGAGTTCGCTGGAGGAGGGCTGTGAACCTCCTGCCGGCTTTCCAGTCGAACCCATTGTTTTCAGAATAGGCCAGAGAATCTCCGAAGGAGTGAGTCGTCCGATGATGCGGCAGCCGCTGTCCACTGCCGACACGGGACGGGGAATTCCACGAGAAGGGAAAAAAGGTATGGTATGATCCATTCGTCAGATCAGGTTCGAACATTGCGCGAACTCCAGCCTCCTTTCAGCCTGAGGTTTCGAATCTCCGAATGAGTCTACAAATCGACAAAAGAAACAACATTATCGCTATCCGTGATTTACAATCGATGAGACTTTGCTATAGATTCGACGGATGTGCTTGCCCTCTCGACTTTGATCAACTTCAACTGCGGACTAGCATCATGGACATCGCCGTGATTTTCTCACGCTTCTGGATCGCTTCGACCTGGAAGGATGAATGTTCGAACGAACTCAGGATCGGGGTCCGGACTCGAAGGCTCCACAAAGCGGAGAACTATAATACCTGGATAGACTAAGTTTAACATCAGCCCTTAGTCACTATGGTTATTTGAGGGAGATAAACATCGATTTCTGACCACGGACGAGTAGACGAACAAACTCACGTGACCCTCGGCGATCGCAGTGTCTGAACAATACAATAGTCGCTCGATTAGCAGTCTGCCCGAACATTCCACTGCACAGTTCCACAACAAATGGACTTCACCAACATCGAAAACTCGACGAGATATAAACATATACGGAAGACTAACGATAAGATCAGGAGGAGCACTGCAGATACCAAGTGGCCTGTGATCCCGCAGTGGCGGACAGCATGATGGAAAAACATAGAGAGGACAGGAAACACAAATGTATTGTGTAGTGAAATAGCAAGTGAAGGAATAAGAATCCGGAAAGGGGTGCCGTTTCTCATCGGTGACATCCTGAGAGTAGAGGAGAACTCCACACATACATGAACGATCGGGGAAAAAGTGCGTTCTGACTGAGTTTGCAGGTCGATTGGCCGCCGCCAAGGCGATGCTAAGGGCCTCGCTCTTCATTCTCAGCCTCACCTAATCTGGCCTGCAAGCAGCGGATTTATGGCGTACAGCCAGTCATGTATTTCTCTCTCGTAGCCGCTCTCCGTCTGCAATAAATATCCGCCGGAAGCCGTGACGACCGAGAAAGTCGAATGTGGTGGCACTTTCAGCATGGCCTGCTGTTCCTCGTTATAGTTGATCTCGGATGTAGATAGATTGATGATCTCACGCTCTGCAATGGGAAGGATGAGGCCGTGAGTGGCGCCGAATTCTTTCCTCGGGTCAATCGACCGGAGAAGGAACTTCAGAGACATACTCACCAATTGGATCGCTCTGATCCTTGTAGACAAACATATAAGGCCGCCGAATCGTGACGTATCGCTTGACCCAAGATTGAGCTTTGTCCACAAGCAGATTGAGAGTTCCTCTGCGGCTGACCACGGGACTGACTCTGATCTCTTCTACCTCAGCGACGTAAGGTTTCAACATGGCGGAAACCGTTCCGCTGGAGAACATCAGGCTTCCGGTGCAGCTTCCGTCCATCGGAACCGGTCTGAGTCCACCCGGCGGAGGTCCGGTTGTAGCGTTCGCTTCAGACGTCGGTGATAGAACACGGCAGGACGGGGGGCTGGACGCTGATGGCGAAAATAATTCTCCCTCGGATGCCGTGGGGGTCTCGGTCTGGTCCTGGGTCAGTTGGAGGGGGACGTGACTATTGACGAGACTAATGATCTTACGTGAGAGCGACTCCTCCCGTTCTGACATGACCCAAGGATCGTAAACGCTGTCTTCCGGCATCGAAAACGATTTCTGCCCCGACGGCGACATCGAAACGTCCAAGGGGAATCGCCGCGCTTTCGGACCGGCTTCGAGCCCGAGCTTCTCTCGAAGAAGGAGGTGGTGGCGGACCTTTTCCGTTTGCTCGAGACGTGTCAATTTCTCAAGTTCCCATTGATGATCGAAAATCAACGAGTCGCCTCTCGGTCGCCACCCCGCAAGGTTCTCCTCCCCTCTCACGTACGTCGTCGACGTATCGAGCACGCGTCTCTGACGTCGCTGAACGCCAGGGCTTCCAGAGTCGGACGCTCTCTTGAGAGCCACCTCGTAGAGACCGGTGACGTGATCAGCGTCAGAGTTTCGGACACCTCCGCTGAACAGAGTTTTCAGGCTTCGCGTATTGGACGGGAGTCGAGCATCGCGTTCATTGATCACGAGACAAAGATCCTTCGTTATGATCGCAGGCTGCGCGCAGTTGTCCAACTCGACGTAGGCCGAGATCGTCATGTATACGTGTTCTCCAGACTGGGTCACCCTGTTAAGAAGCGGCGAATTGTGCAACGATGAGTCCCAGGCTGCTTCGAAGTGATAGAAACACCTCTCGTCGCCTGCGGGCATCTCCAATTGGCGTGGCGGGAACAGGCCCAAGCTGAGGACACAACCATCGCTCTCGTCGTTGACGGATTCGCTCTCCGGCGTGGATCGCAGTCTTCCGACCATGATTTCCTGGGGGACGGAGGGCAATGTGGGGACGAATCGATGTGTCGCTTGAATTCAAGGACTACGGAGAAAAATACGGGCTTCATACCTTTACGTCCTTCCATGGGAGATTTTCCGTTCTTTCGTGAACCAGAGTTATTCGAATACGACGCTGAATGCCTTGATGCAGATGGAAACTGCCCCTCAGACAGGGATTCTCGTCGTGTTGCGAAACGGCGGCCGGGAGATACTCTCCGTTCTGCGTGAGTTCGCAGATTTCAAACCAGACGAGAATGTCGTGTTTCGCGACGATATGGCTTGTCGCGCTAGAATGACACAAGCGACAGAAGTCAAGAGGAAGCAAAAAAAATGGATTGCGGAATTTCAACTTGTGTTGCCTGAGCAGCCATGAAGCCCCCGGAAGCGGAAAGCGGCCCCTCTCTGACGTGACTCGCAAGGGATTATTGGCACCGTGGAGCTAACGCCGATTATGTCACTGAGCGTCAGAATCGACGACTCCTCGAGGGCACCTCAGAGCATTATTCTAGAGATATCCCTCAGAAGTTCTTCGGACGCGATTGAGACTTCTCGAATTCCTCCCCATGCGGGTTAATGGCCCGAGTAAGCAGATGCCCAGGAATACGTCCAAAGTGAGACCTCTGGTGGGAGATGCAGAAATACGGGTTCGCAAGCGAGCATGAAGCGATGGGAAGATACCTTGCTTGAGGAACGACACCGAACTTTGGCGAGCGCACCGGCTGAGAAATCGGAAGCGACCTTGGAAGCATACGACGCGGCGCTTGACGTGTTGGCGGACATTCAGCTCGGGGTTTGATCGATTCAATACATGGATCCTTGTAGAGGGGATAGGCTTGATAGTGACCCAGAACTTCAAAAACGATCGGCCGAGTCTTGATGTATTTCACGAAAGCCCGGGTCACCGTCACCGTTATCTGCAGAGCTCGCTCGGTGTTATTGCTCCTTCGCACGAACAGCGGCCGGATGCGGGAAAAATCCACCCGTATTATGGAATCCAGCGTTCGAATTAGTGAATAAGGAGAGGTAGCTTACGTTCTGCTTGTAGAAAAATCCCGGTGGTGGCCCCCTGGCAGTATTCTTCAGCGGCTCCGTCGAGAAGGCTTCATCGCTCCGATGGAGGAAACTATGGGAGGTGGAAGGCGTTAGGCGATGGAGAATGAGTCGGAGGCTCCTGACCGAAGCACTGAGACCCGAACGATTATGCGAATAGTCACTTACTTGAACTGGCAGAATATATCAGAATATTCCTCGGCGATGCCAATGGCCTGGAGGACCGATATATGGAAAGTGAACTCAGATCCAAGCCGCAGGTGAGCGGGCGGCTCGAGGTCGTCTCGTTCGTTGTCAATCTCGCGAACAAGTGGATCACCCGGGGTTTCTGAAGAGACATGAAGATCCTCAAATCTCTGCGGAAGCTCTGCTCGGGGTCCGCGAGATCCGGCTGGGAGACTCACCTTGATCATAACCCTTGTCGAAGCCTTCGTCACAACGTTCTACCGTAGAACGTTCTCCTCCATCGAATCCCGCGGATTCTACTCCATGGCTGTCGTCTTCGAATCGAATTCTTGCAAACTGCCGGACGCCGCTGGCCTGCTCGTCCCCACCGGTTCCCGCCTGAACCGCGACCCGCAAGAAGCCGACTACATCGCCTTTGTCATTAACGATTGCCACCGTCTGGACGAGGGCCTCGTCCGGATACATGAGATGCTTGAGATACACAAAGGCTCGTCCAATCGACCGGAACCAGGGGGAGCAATCAAAAAAGGGATCGCTCTGCGCGTCCAAGTCAGCTATCGGTGAGCCGTCGTTTCCATTTTGATACATCTCACGCATTAGCTCTAAGCGCCGTCGCAGCTTCTCTAGCGACCAATGATGCGTCGTTCCGTTCCTCCCGTCCCGGACTTCAACGGCGACAACGGTCTTGCGACCATCGGCCGCGCACAGCTCCGCCGGCAGTGGTGAATAGGGGGTATCGCTCAAGAGAACGAACTGGAACTGAACTCGCTTCTTGAGCTCCACGCTGATCGCGTTGGCCTCTTTGAGGAAAATGGCATTCCCCCAGAGGTCATCGCGGAGAGACGTGAACCGGTGGATCTTCCATTTGTCGAACGCGATTCGCGCGATTTTCAGCTGGGCTTCGTCGAGCGGTTCGAATTCCTCCTCGGGGAGTGTCTCCTCCGAGGGCTCGAGGAAAGCTGACAGCGCGTATGATGATGTCATCGACGACATCATGGACACCTCCTCGACCTGCCGCTGCAAACTCTCGATTTTGGCCTCGTAGTTTTTGCGTTCTTCGGCGAAGTGCTGGTCGGCTTCTTCTTTCTCCCGCTTGTACTGCTCTTCAATCGCGACGACTTTCTTCTCCATTTCGAGTTTGAGGTCGATGCCCTGCTTCTCCAATAACTCCCTCTGGGCAAAAGTCCAATCCACAGCTGCGGGCTCGTCAGATGTCGGGGAGCGACCTCGGAATTCTCGCGCCTGTTCCGGGTGTTGGAATCTGAAAACGTGGTATTTGCCCAGGATGACTCGCATCCCGCTTCGGAGTTCCACCTGATCGACCACTTCTTTCCCGTTAACGAAAACAGTAGCCCCCTCGCATGGCACGAGCGACACGACCCCATCGTGATTCTGGAACGTGCAGTGCTCGTTCTGAATTTCGCTGCCCGTGAGTTTGATGTCTTGCGATACGTTTGCGTCAGGCCGACCGACCCGGGTGAGACCGTCCTTGATGTAGTACAATAGACACTCCGACATGAGAGGATCTTCATTCAGATTCACCAGATGAGGTGTTTTCTTCGGCGAAAATACGCCGAGCGTGTCCCCGTCGTCCTTCAATGCTACGCCTGGAAACGCAAGGGTCAGAGATCGCGCCAAGATCCGTATCTAGCATTTAATTCCCAGTTTAGGCGGGAACTTTGATATTGAGTAGTATCACAGGCCTCGCCAGATGCCATTCGTGAAATTACCCATTTCGGCGAGAACAGCCTCCCTCTGCTTCCTTATATCCTCGGTTTTCTTGAGTTTTTCCTCCCACGTTTGATTGAGTTCAGCGATGAGTTTCTCACTTTCTTGTAATTGTTCGATTTTATCTTCGGTAGCTCCAGAATGTAACTTCCGATTGGGTCTAGGACTGTTCTGAACATCGTCTATCTTGATCCCTTCGGCAACCAGAAGATTTTTGAGCTTGCTTATTTCCTCTTTCAGTTCACGGATCATCCGGGCGTTGGCGTCTTCATTGACGACTGCTTTGCACACGATTTGCTTGGCACGATCTGCGTACCGCAAGGTAGACAGCGTTTCGTCATAGTTGATATCGGCCGGCGATATCGCGGCTATCATTGCCGTCTTGGAATTACCTCCGAGGTTCTCTTTGAGAAGCCATGTCAACACGGAATCTCGATAAGGTATGTGATCGGCCCTCTTTCTCTTTGTGTTCCGATTGGCCGCCATTTCAGCCAAACCTGATATGACTTTGCCGAGGGTCGTGAGAGACTTGTTGATGTTCGCTCCCTCCTTCAGGCGGGTTCCTTGGGCTCCCGTTGAGTCGGCTCGCTCACTGCCGGCTAGATCCACGAGCGAAATTTTGCTCACCTTCTCGGTATCAAGACCCGTCTGTTTATCGTGTCTGCGTTGGGTGAACATTATCGTGAACACGGCGTGCGACCTCGACGACGTTTCGTTCATGTTCGTCGCAGCGACGGTTCTGGCCTTGTTCCCTTCATCCATGAGGTTATTGATGTCCTCGTAGGATGTCACGACCAGCTTCGAAAGATCCTCTACGTAGGGCCCCAGTAGCGGATGCTCACGAACCCGCAGATTATTCTTGTTTTGAGGATTCAATAGATCTCGGACCCGCTCACAATAGATCTCCATGTAAGAAACCTGATCGGAGAGATATCACAAGTAGAATAATTGAGGAACATTGAGAAATATCGGCTATGGTTAGACGCTGTCGCAGAACATTGATCATCCTACTGGATTATATTACCTGATCGTATTCAAATGTATTATGAAAATTTTAATAGCTACCATAGTCATTATACTTAGGGTTGTAAATTATTCGCGGGAAATTTCCGCCAAATTCGCGGAAATTCGCGGCCTCCATTGGCGGTCCGCGAACAATTTACATCCCTAATTATACTATACAATTATAATCATCAATATTGTATACCTCAACGGAGTACAGCATATCTTCTACGGGATCTTCTCTCACTTTGAAGAACAGATCTTTGCAGATATGAGGTATGATGCCCTCCTGGAATGTTATGCCCCTTATTGAGACAATTGAAACGAAGGTCTTTTCGTTGCGGGAAGTTGTCAGAGCCTTGCGCGCTATCAACGCGCCGAAAGCTATCCGAGCCCCACCTGTCCTTCTTCTTGACGACCCATCATGGTATAGCTTTTCCCGGCTCCCGTTTGGCCGTATGCGAAAATGCATACGTTGTAGCCATCGAATGCGTGCTGCAGCATCTCCTCGCCGATATCGCTGTACACTTGATCCTGGCCCGCGAAGTGAGGATCGGAAGTCTGCGGTTGTTCAATTTTTAGGATAGCGGGGAATGTTTCAATGAGATGAATCAAAAATTCGGTCGAAGTAGCCTGGCGTTCAACTCACGTTCGTGGACCAGTACGAGTAGTCATAATTGAAGTTCTTCGTGATTCCGTCTCTAGGATTTTCGATCACCGTGGTGTTGTCTTGCATTTGGATGATAAGACGACAGTCTCTGGTGAGTTCGCGCTTATTGAAAGGGCGAACCCTCACGGCCACCTAGAGGAATGGAGCCGGTGATTTGGTTTGCCTACCGCTTTCCCGACAGTGCTCCCCCGTATGAGGGAGCTGAACACATCGAATCTCCTCGAAGTGGATCGAAGTTGAGTGAAAAAAAACTCGTGGGGAAAAAAAATTCTCGTCATCAGATTCGTTGTACAAGGACAGCTCATATACGCCGCCTGTACGGTCGAGAACCTGTATAGAGAGGACCCTCGGACAAGGTGTGATAGAGGTATTCCGTTCCATCCTTTTGAGCTTGCCCCCAAGTCAACTTGGAAAAGTTCCCTAGCTCACCTTTACGGATGACATGGCGTAGTCTCTCTGTGAGGACAGTACCGATGAGATCCTAGGGGGGAAGACAGATCAACAGGACTGTCAATCAATCTGTCAAAATGAACAGGACGATGCGGAAGTCGGAGAAAATCATCACAGACGAAACTTAAGGTCTCGACAGAAATACCTGATCAGCTTGTTCCCGACATCAAGGCCACCGGCGAAATCGTATGCGAATCCCGTCACTTCATTGAACGTCCAAAACTTGACAGCACCACACTTCCCAAGATTCTAAGACTTTATACACATTTGTGCGTCACCTATTCGCTAGAACCTCGTCACCGGATTCTGAGTCGCTCAGATGAGCAGCTCCTCAATGTGTTCTGTTTTCGGGCAGCAGCTGAGACTGACAGCTAGACAGGAAACTTTTCGAATGGATTGAACGAAATGAACGCATCTTTTTTTTCTCGAGTAGGTGAACGCCGGGAACACCGGTTTCGATGACCGTGAATGTGTGATTCGAGAGAGATCACCCCAAAGATTGGTAAAAAGATCCGAAGATGTGAATCAAATCCACTCCAGCTGATTCGATAATGATGATGACAATGATCCTCGGCGATATCCGGTGGACATCCGGCGGTCTGTCCGCTGTGCCCGATTTCCGAATCCCCGCTCCTGTGCCGTCGGAAAGATCGGTCTTCTAGCATTAGACCCGAGATACGGCTCCCCAGAGAGCACCTCGGAAGAGATACCAGCCGGCTCCTCGGCATGGATTAACGGCGGAAATACCCACCCATACCCGAAAGATTGGTTCAGGAGTCTCGGAGATCGCGACGCTCCGGCTGCCCAGCCCGGAACCGTCGAAGTCGCAATTGAAATTCCCTAACCGAAAAAATCCGACAAAGGTAATAATCAGCGGTAGTTTCTCCAAGTTCGTCTCCTTTATTGAGCCATGTCATCAACGATCTTTTCCGACGGAGATCAAGATCGTATCGTGCGATCGAAGGTGTATCAAAAACTATAGAAATATATCTTCGCATGCTTTGAATCGATGTTCAGTCCATTTTCATCCCATCGATTCTCATTGCAACCGTCACTCGATACCGAGACATGACTGAGAATGTTATCCCAGCAGCTCCATCGACTCGAACCGCAATCTTACTCTCAGTCGCGCTGTCAAACAAAAACACGGAAAGAATCAACTTTTTCGTATCTGACACCCTCGAAGGATGTCCGTCTCATTCAACTACTAACGTACTAACAACCAAGATATCAAGGCAGCGCGCGAATCGTCAGCATTCCGCTTCCTGCCTCGTCGGAGTAGGTGTTCCAATAAAAATACGATCTGAGTCCGGCGAATTGTTCGGATCTGCAACCCAGATGGCAAGTCAGACGACAATAGCGTCGACCCTGGGCATTCGGGGTCTCCCGGGAAGATTTGGTGGGGCCCGTGGTAAGTCGAATTCCTGCGTTCACAGCTTGACGAGGTCAATCGTCGACGTCAATGTCGACTCCAGCCCAATTGGTGCTGCCGTCAGAGACGTATTTCCGTATAATATATTAGGCTAGACAGAATCTATCTATTATTCAGCGACTTTTGTTCTTTCGACGATCCCCAGCAGCGGGCGAGCTGTCTTGACGATGTCGGAGTAGATCCCCAAGCTCCTTTCGGTAAAAAATAGCCAATGCGACGAACACGGAGAGAACAGCGACGAACGGGGATGCCGGAGCGGGTGTCTGGCCGTGACCAGCCGCCGTTTTTTCGTCAACCTGGATCTCGAGTTCGAGGTGGTGATAGGGCTTTTCTGTGAAGAACGCCGGCGAAGTGAAATCTGTGAGGTTGTTCACGTCGTTGATCCAGATGACACTCATATGCGGCGGAGGCTTCGCGTTCTGATGGTGTAACTCGATGTGGTACTTCGACCCGTCCAGCGGAATATCCTGCGGGAAGGTGAGGAATCTCGCACCGCGATGACTGTACAACTGTCGACCCCCGTTCCACACGGAGACCCGTAACGTCGGAAGTATTGCGGGGTCGGCACGGAGAGCCACGCTCAGAGTCGTGCTCTTCAACGGTCGGACGACTATCAAGTCCATGGTGATATCGGAACGCTGAATGCTGACACTCTGCGTCGCTGGGAGAAAGCGGTCGAAGTGCGGCAACGCGTCGTCACTGCGTTTTTTCAAACGGATCTCATACGTGCAGCCTTCCCGCAGACCGCGAATTCTGAATTGGCCGAGTCTGTCGCTTATTCCATCCTCTTCGTGTCTGTCGCATTTTTCGCTTATTGCTTCGAGACCGACCCCTTGCTCGGCCTCTCCAGTGATCGATGTCACCTTTCCCATGACCGAGTAAGCAACTTTCTTCCCTTTAATCGAGAGAAGTTCCTCGCTGTTCTCGCTCACCGAGACCATCGTGGACAAGGGCTCGAATTTGTATTCTTTCATCATGACCCGTACGTAGTAGTCCCCGGGATTCAGTTTGATCAGAGCCAGCTCGCCTTGAGCACCTGTTCTCGTCGTGTTCCGGTACTCCGAACCTCCGGCAATCGAAACGAGAGCGCCGGCGAGAGGCGCGTTCGTTTCTCCGTCGACTACGCGGATGTCGATCCGAGAGTATTTCACTGCGGTCATGTCGTTCGAGTTAGGGATGCGTTCGAATCCGTAACCCTCTTTCTGGGCTTCGATCGTGTACTCTTGGGATTCCAGAGGTCCAGCACGGTATTTTCCGTGGACGTCAGTGATCGCTTTGCACGGTTTGGCGTTTTCCTTAGTCGAGACGGTCACTTCCACACCGGCGATGGCCGGTTTGATGGCTCCGTCGATGAAAATTCCTGTCCTGCCGCTAATGGCGATCGCGATGCAATCATCTGGCATTCGCATCGTGAGCTGTGGGGGTTTGAACACGAGGGACTCGCTGTGAGGCTCGAGGATGAGTTCGGCTCCCTTCGGTTGATAGAGCTCGGTGAGGTATATATAGGTGTCTCCGGATTTCTTGTATTCTTTGAGATTGGCCACTTGGACCTCCTCGCCTTTCTTGCACGTCAGTCTGAGGTCTTCCACGAGAAGTTTCGAGTTGATTTCCACTTTCAAGCGATGCGATTCGGCGTTCAGTACGACCGTATCTTCGGAGTTCGGACTGAAGACGAGCTTGTCGGCCTTGGCGAACTTATGGCAGCCCACTGATTTTATCGGGATCGTCTTGGATTCCGCTATGCAATGGCTCGACAGGCCCGAGTTTACCTTGATGACGTTCCCTGCGACTTCAAGTTCCGTTTCGTGTGAAGTCTCAAGACGCAGGGTGTAGCCTCTCTGTACGAACTGAATGTTCTCAATGTTCTGGTCGATCACCGTGATCGGCTGGCAGTCCTTCTCGAAACAGCTCTTGCTGTGCGACACGCACACCTCGTACGTGCCCGGATCGACGCTCTTGAACATGAAACTGCCATCGCTGTTGGCAACCGTTTTCGCTGTAGAAGCGCCGTTGAGGGCAACCTTGACTCCGGCACATACTTTACCCAAGCACGCGACCTTGCCTCTGACGACTGCGGAGAACTGCGAGAAAACGAGGCGTTGACCCTCGGTGAGCGGAACTTGGATCTTCACCTCCCACGGAGAGAGCCGGACCGAATGTTTTGGTCTGATTATGTGCTCGCCGCGTACCAGAAGTGAGCAGAAACGTCCGGAACTGACCTCGGAGCGAGCTCTGATAATCTGGTTCGACTTTACCTCCGTGATTTCGATGTCGACGGAGTCTGAAACGCGAACGTCTCCGCAGACTTCGAACTTATCCGGGAAGATGTCGGGCAAGCTAGCCTTCGACGGATCCACGTGGATAACCTTGTTTTCGAAATGAAGGCCGTTCTTCCGCAACTGCAGGGTGTACTTCCCGCCGCGCAAGGAGCCGAGTCGGAAGGTTCCGTCCTTATCGGAGACAGTTTCGAAACCTGTTTCGAGGACTTTGATCTCAACTTTTCCGCCTGCATCCTTCACGGCACCCGAAACGGGGAAACCAGTGACCTGGAACGGATCCAGCAGCCTGTCGGCGTGCGTGACGTCCAGATCCATTTTTTCGGGGCTGATGTCCACCGCCTGGCCGGACTGGGTGAGAACGTGAGCGAAAAGAGCGTATTTGGAAGCCGCTTTCACGCAGGGGAATTCGTAAGAGCCGTCGGTCGAGATTTTTGCGACGCACGACACATGATATTCAGCAGGAAGTGAGAATCCCTTGGGGAGGTCTTTCGACAGGCTGCGACCGCAGCACGGGACGTTGTCCTTATGGGCGAGAATTACGCTCCCCTTCGCTTTTGGAAGATCCCAATCTATTTTACCCTGGAAGAGGAACATCAGAAGGTACAAGACGAGGGACTCAGTCAGCTGGCAAAAACTCATCACTCATCACAGACCAGAGAATCATTCGGAATCATTCGGAACTGGGACGGCATGGAGCGCGGTTTTCAGTGAAACTCACTTTTAGCGAGTAGCCTTCGATGACGAAAACGGACTCATTGAGTCGTACGTTATCGTTTTTGACCTCGACTGCGGCGACCTCCCCGCGGAACTTGATGCTGTAAACTCCTGGCGGCACCGCCGGGAAAACGAAATTGCCACCCTCAAGGGTTTTCACCGTCCGGGTGGAACCCGCGTCGACAAGGATCACCTCGACGCCGGCGGGGCCATTCGTGGAGCCCTTACTGATGACCTGCGAGCGAGGAACGATTACTTTAATCATCGACTCCGAGTACGATATCTGACGGCGAAATTACTCATGCTCCCGCCGAAGAGCTCACTTTTCCCATGACAGAGAATCCCTTGAATTCGAAATTGATGTCGCGGCCCTGCGAGCAGGAATCTTCCCCGTTGAGGTCGATGTCGACAGCTGGTGGGTCGAATGCCCAGCCGTTCGGACCCTCTACTCGGAGCTGGTATTTCCCTTTGTCGTATACCGGGAGAAGATAGTATCCATTGTTTGCGGTCCCTTCGGTCTCCGCTTTCAAGTTCCCCGCTGTGGTCAATCTGAAAAACGGGAGGACATGTAAGCAAAACACGCCCGCTAGAGCAAGATTCGAAACGCTTCATTCCTTCTCACGGATTTCGAACGATCGAATTCTGATAATTCTTGACTCTATTCGATAGGTACCGAAGATGAATCCCTCAACCATTATTGGATACATATCTAGGCCAATAAACTCGAACTTGTGAATGTTCCGCTGTCGCTCATCGATCGGAGCCTGCGGCGGATCGAATCAGAGGCAGTGTCCTGTATTGCACAATTCATCTCCTCGCATGCTCCGAGTGTCATTGTCAGTCCTCCGCGTGGACGAGTTTGGCGATATTTCCACGGATACATAAATAAATCATCGACGAAGAACCTCATTCGTTCAAACCCCTGGATTGCAGGCCTGAGCGAAATCCTTCTGCCACGAGCTTCCGCGCGCAGATGGGCTCGGTTCTAAGCGGGGGCGAGAGTCGCACTCGAGGAGACAATTCATTTTCCCCGAGACACGGATTTCCTCGATTCCATTCTGATCCCCTTCGGGAGTCGTAATGTTTGATGTCGAATCAAATTTCCAAATCATACTCACAGTTTCACTTTAACTTTCTCAAAGGGGATCGGCATCGAAGATCGGATAAATCCTCCACAGGTGAACATGTCATCCTGTGAATCGGCATTCACTACCGTGGCAAGCGACAGAACGAATCCAAAGAGCAAGTGGGTTCCAAGGGACATTGTGATCGCTCCTTGTGGTTACACCGGTCGGATATTCAGAGCATGGATAGGAAAAAGGGGTTTGCTGGGTCTGAAGAAACCCAATAGCGCACTGGCTCTCGAGGAAAACCCTCAGAGAGAGAGGTCTTTGAGGTTCTCTCTACCGGCGAACATTGACGATAGCCGCGACGAGGAGCAGGCTTAAGCCACGGACGGTTAGACTTCCGAGAATTAAGGCCGCTCTCGGTCTTTCGACCGCAACGTCACAAAGGTTTAGATCGAAAATTCAGCTTTCATGCCGTGATTCTCATACGTTTGTACAAGAGACTGTACGATCGAGCCTATGGTGAGTCTTTGGGGTGCCTGAGCAAGAAGCACGGGAGGGAAAACTGAACAGGAGCGATAGAGGGAGAACGGAGAGCGACACGACCCTGATAGGAATGATCTTTGCTGGGACGCGGACACAATCGGGCGGTCCCCTCTCTAGACCAGGTTTTTGGGACCATTTGAGCAATACCACAATAACACTGGATCACGCTGAACCGCACGAAATCACACTCGATCATGAAATATCACGATGCGCCGTCCTCTGAGGCTCCCCTGGAGGCTCCTGCTGCCGTGAATTCGGCGACGAATAAGCACTCATCAGTCTCGTCCTTGTCTTCTTTCGAACTTATAGATGATCCCTCGGTCTGGAAAACTCAGGATTCGTCGATGATTTTGTAGCACAAAATGGATTCGGGCAAAGCAGGCAGCTCGACATCGTAACGTCGAGACGGCTGTACAAATATCATGCGCGTAATCACGACCCTGCTCTTTCCCAAAGACGACTCCAGAACGGTGAGGGAAAAACAACTGGAACTGGATGATCCACTCTGGGAGTCTGAGCTTCGTCAATGCTGGACAGTGCCACATGCTCTCAGAGTCTAGCTCCGAGACTCTATTCGGCGATTGATTTTCTGAGAAACCCTGGGAACCCAGAAACCCAGCGGTGAAACGAGCTTGTCATTCGCTACGTTGGAGATTCGGGAAGATCAACGGAAGTCCCCTGATATTCGTGCCGAATAGCAAGCACGAGGCTATCACGAGCGCCTGGCACGTGAAGCCCCGCTCGCCGATATTCTCGAATACGCAGGGCTTTCGAGACGACTCTCTGACTGAGATCGAAGCTCTAGGAGAACTGGACCTTTGTCACCATACCTATCTGTCAGCGGAGGAGTATGCCGGTTGAACAATGGATGGCGAATGTTGAAGCATTGAACTTGAGACAATGCTCTCGGTCGAGCTCGCATATGCGGTCGATCTTCCAGACAACACTCGCAGCGAGCGAAGCCGCATGGTTGGGGAAGTCTTCACGTCTCTCGTGAAAGAAAAACGATTCCGTCATTGCCGTTATCACCTTAAATTGTGCGAAGGGAGCAAAATGCTCAATTATCAAAAAACGTGGTGTACTCTAAATGTACTGAGTCTGTGTTTATGTGCTCTGGCTTCTCTCGATCGTCGTTTGACCTCCGATCAACCCTATCGTCTCTTATCGGATCGACCTTCCGTCAAGCTCAATCCGGATCTCGACGAAGCCTCGATCAGGGCTTTCACAGAATTTTTTTTAGGGAGTTTCTGCAAAGTCCGAAGGGTGATCCTTCTGGATTGCTCCTGCTCCCTGGACTTCCGTGTACGTAGCCGCTTGAATTTGACGGTCGTCGACTTATTCCTTCGCTCTGGAAGAGCCAAACCTTTATCGCATTACATCGACATAACGGCGAGCTATCAGAAGATACAATCATCGGACTCGGTGTACGTCGCTCTAGAATGCGACCATTTGGTGCCAATGGCGTCGCGGGATCCCGGGGCTCTGAGCTCTCACAGGATATTGCTGAAGATTGGCGTCCCGAGAAAAACTCTGGTGTTGATTCAAATGTCACGTTCATTCGACGTACGAGTCCTGGGCGGTCAGCGGTTTCCGCTGACTTACCCAGTTGTGAGGATAGCGTTCAGGGGAACCGAAGAGCCCGTTTTATGGACGATGTTCGATCCATATGAGCGCAAGCTCACCTCGCCGCTCGACATATATCTCGTTGCGGACGGATTGAAATGGCGTCGAATCCTCGTATCCGAGCTCGTCTCGAGTGTTGGGCATGAGTCCCGCATAATTCGTTCGGGGACCAATTTGGAGCGAACAGCCTTAGGCGAAGAGGTCCAGTCTACATTCCGAGAGGAGAGAACTTCGATCGAAGCGGTCGTGAAATTCGACTGCAACGAGAAACGCTATGAGACGATTTTTTCGGCCAATGCTGCGCTCTGGAAACCTCTGACCGCCATCGCAAGAACACCGAATGTCAGCGCGATTCTGAGTTTGACTCAGGAGATATTTCGGTTCCAGATCTGGGCCCTCCTGGTCCCTACCGCGTTCCTGATCATTTTCTTGATGCGGTTCTCCGAAGACTCCAATCCAGCTCGCGTCCCGCTCGACGTTCAGATATTCCATATGATCGCTTGTGTATTAACACCCGTACAATTGAACTGGAGACACGGCTCGATTAAACTGATATTGCTCGTCGGAACATGGACTCTATCGATGCTGACTGTGTCAACATCGTTCAGAGGGCAAGTGGTCGCTGCCCTCCAAAACCTTCCCGAAAGCCGAATCAAGAGCGTATCGAAGTGTATTGGTAAATACGGAAGCGGAAATGAGGGCGTCTCCTCTGATATTGGGATCATTGCACGAAACGATCTGAGGGGCTTCATCTACGAGAATGTCCACTATTTGTTGCAAGGCGGCGTTCTGTGTTTGGAGGACGACCTAGCAGATCCCTTCAAGCGCAGGGTCTTCAAGCGAATCGCTAGTCACGATGTGCGCATCGAATCCGGAGCTCATGTGATCACAGTGATCAGCGCATTCAAGGTTGATATCTACAACGGCTCGCAACGTTCCGATAGACTTTGCGAACATCGTATCATGATGGACTATCCATTCTTCCGAGAAACGAGATTAGCTCAACGTCTGCAGGCACATGGGCTGCTGAGGCAGCCGGAACGACTTTTCGAAAACTCAACGGATATAGCCAAGGAGTTTTTCAAATTACCTCTGTCGAATACGTACGGACACGCCTATTGCGATGTTTTTGCCGCAAACATAACATCCATGTCTCCGCTACCGATCAGCGTTCGATGTTTCAAACGCAGCGATCTACAGAGCGGTGTATCGCGGAGTATTCCTCTTAGAGATATCGAGGCTGCATCGGGACTTCTGATGGCCGGTTTGGCCATCGCTTCCGTCGCATTCCACCTCTTCGAGGGCCCGGTTTTACTCACTAATGCTTTCAAATCTAAAATTCCCTCAATTTGCTCGTGAGAGCCCGTGACACAACTACATGATGACATGGAGGATCAGGCATTTTGATCCCTCGTGGCAGGTCGGAAATTCGCGGCTTTCCATTCGGTGAACGGCGCCGCGACGCGAAGTTCTCCAACTGCCGCCAGCTACCACGGACTCAGTGAAAGACTTGCTCCATCAACGGATAGACTTGGCATTGAGAACGCCTACCGTGCTCCCGAGCGTCTCGGCAGCCGCTTGCCTCCGATTCCGCGACCACGTTTGCCTCAGTAGATTTCCTCAGACGTACCCCGCGGCGGAACCCTCGCAGTTCCAAGGGAGTCTGACCATGCTTGGAAGGATAATTACTTGCTTGATACGCGCCTGTTTTTTTATCGGAAGATATCCTGTCGGGGATTCCATGCAAACGTCTCGTGAGAGAATACATCGGTGAGTGCCCGAATTCGGAACTGACTCCGATTTGTAGCGGCGGAAGTTTTCCGATAATATGGCCAGTTTGATCTTTTATGGACTTCGGATGAATGTGACGATCCCTGCCGTCTCGTTGTTGGCAAGAATAGCTGGCGATGCCCACCCTCTCATCTCCGTCGACTTCAACCCAGCCCGCCTCGAGGGCATCCCGAAGACAGGAGAAGACATCAACTCGAGCTTCTACATGGGAATGTCAATTCTATCCATTGTTCACCGGTCGAACCCCGTAAAGCTCTTTGTAATCTATCGCGTTCAATTAACCGAAGATTTCTGCCATGCTCCGAATCGGGACATTGAGATTCGCCGCTTCAGACTTCGGCAAACTTCTGATGAACGCCGCTCTCCCAACACATGCGGAATCGAGTGACCACAACCGCCATCGATCTCGCGTCAGCGGTATCCGCGCTACTCCCAGTCCCCAGCGCCATTTCCATCGATCGGAAATAAGCGCCCTTGGATCTTCGAAATCCCCTAGCTGAAGTCGTCAAACTTCGACGTCGTTAGGGGCATCGCTGACCAAGCATAGACGATCGGATAAGAGACCCCATTCGTGCCATACCAGCATCTGTACGACATCTCTCGCGATATTCTCAGAGAGTACAAAGAACGTCTGACCTATCAGATTCTGTTCGCGCGACAGAATTCAATACTCAACCGATTCTCGCGAATGCTCCACAGAGATTGATGCTTGTCCATCGTTGATAGTGGATGTTCTCGGAGCCGTAGCTGCCTGCAAGGACGAAAAATATGTTCCTTCAATCTCCCTTCCCTCAAGCTGAGGTTCCACAGAGGGTTAGCCGACAGCTATCCACGAAAGATTCAGTGCCCAGGATTCGAGGCTATCATGGGCTGCGCTGTTTCGGTCGGGCTGTTGCGTGGCGCTCCGCGCGTCCAGAGCTCGCGGGGTTCCAGCTCCTCTCAGACTGAACGTGGTCGTCGGAGCGTTAGAGAGCATGCCTCCGGCGAGTATAGCCATGAAGTATAGCCTCGAGCCGAACAGGCGATATACAGGACATATGTTTACGGGAATTTCCTTTTAACAACCTATCGAAATAAAGAAACGGGTGCGATCACCCCTCGTCACCCGAATCCTCTCTGAATCTCGATTGACAATCGCTGAAAGAAGAACTCACAATCAGTGGCCCTCTCGTCGCCGGTCACCGGTTCGATACGACCTGCCTGAGCAAAGAGTTCCCATTGCCACCGGTTTCACAAAGAGCGGACCGCAAAAGATCGACGGATGAAGCGAGTGTGCCCCAAACCATAGCATCCCGTGCGAGAGCCTTCGCGGCCCTTCAAGGAAAGAAAATGTGGACGTCGGGGCAAAGACCCGAGCTGCTTGAAAGACCAAGCCGTTTGTTGAGATTCATTCTGGATTCCAGATGAATATGAGAGAAGAATACCGAGGAAAAAGACCCCTCGAGTTTCCCAGGATTGATGAGTGTGAATGCTAAAACCTCTCCAGAAGATCCCGCTCCGCTTTCCGCAGGGAGTACCGTGGAACCAAGAAGACGACGTACGATTCCCGCTCGTTCCTCGATCCCTCGGGCGCGGTTAGCTCATCGTCAGATCGACGACACGGTTCTGTCAACTGGCATTACCCTGGAGCGACGACGCGCGCAATATACTCACATCTTCGCTTCCCTTGCAGATCAGTCGGAGAGAGGCTAACTGAGCTCGCTGCTACACCGGAAACACGGTGCAGAGCACTGCTTGACATTCCGTCTGAAGCTCTGGGTCCCCCCAGGATGGAGAACGAATTTGAACGTCCTTGCTCACAGTGCATTTCGAACCACTGGACCACTGAGATATTCCGGTTATGCGAGCCCGCCTCTTGATTATTGTGCCAACGCCAGAATCCGCATTGGGTGAGTTCGACCCGATGTCTATTTCCAAAACTTCGTGGGGACAGCACCGGGAGCACAACCCTAACCGTATGGATACAAGTGACCTCAAATTCCCCTCCTGTAGCGCGGTCGTGCGGCTCCGGTTTTGTCCCTCGTTGGAAAGGTGCTGGATGAGCGCCACCACTCTGGCTTTTCAATGGAAGAGACGACTGCGGGGATGATACAGACGAAGCCCCCTGTGGCAATGAGTTCGGTCTTGATTCTCACAGTGTCGGTCATGCAGCCCACTCAGTCAGCGGATACCGTCGAGCGTTTCCGAACACTTGAAGAAAGAACTTCGGCATGGGAATGTCCGCGACGCCGCGACGGAGTAGTCGCGGTACCGAGGGGAACGAGACTTTCTAGATCCCGGATAATGGGAATCGGGAAGGCCAAGGAACTCTGTTCACGAATTTTCCCATCCAGTCGGATGAGGATTCAATCGATCGCCGTACGAGCGGATGCCGTGTGGTATGAGCCCGGAGACTTCTCCTCTACGGCTCCGCGATTTTTCCATGATGCCTATTGTTAAGTTTAAGTTTAACGATTGTGTCCATGTTTGGATTTTCGAAAGTTCCGCGTAAAACGACATGACCGCTGCTGTACGGAGAGGAGGTTAGTGTGTCTACCGAGCGCCGGGAAGGCGGTATGCGTGCTGGAAAACTACGCCTAATAAACCTGTGTCAACTTGTGAAAACCCGAAATCATCAATCCTAACATCAGCGGTGGGATTTCCGAAGGCCTGATCCAGCTACCGACCGAGTTTTCAAGTGGAGGACAACAGGCAAAGACGGAAGCCGGCAACGAGGCTTACCGGTCAGCGGTGAGTGCCAGCAGCCAGAGGCGTATCAGACCCTAGGTCGCTACCGGAAAGGACTAGTCACTCGAACACTTAGTTAGCACCCTCAGATCGAAGGGATGACCGAACAGCGAAGACTGAATATCAAATTCGACGTCGATGAGCCGACGGTATTTTTTCGCAAACTCAAGAGGATCGCGGAGGCCGAGGAATGGTCGAGG